GTTTCGTAATTTTTACTGAATCTTTTACCGTGTACAATGTTCTTAGCAGCTTCTTACATCATGTCAACATGTAATGAAATCGAAGGATTAACAAGGAGTATCACATGAAGAGTAACCACAAGAATTACAAGAAAGATGTAAAGGTCACACGTCAAACAAATCCCCGCGGATTCCGTTTTTGCGCTAATTACTCATTTTACCCGGGTGAAAAAAAAAATTATAATCAGAATATTTTTTTCCAAATTTTCCAAAAATTTCTGGAAAAATTATTTTTTGAAAATTTGTAAAAAATATACCGATTACAATTTTTTTTTAAACGGGTAAAATGAAGAAAAAAAATGATGCAAATTCAGGAATCATTGGGAATCGCGAAATAACTGAGGAATCATCTAAGGGTGAGACGGATAAACATTGGAGGGAATAAAAAAAAATGGTTGAAGGAGAGGGGCGGTATAATCGATGCGGACATGTGCAGTTCCCTTGGGGATACAGCAACCCCTAACTCGCCAAACCTATTTATACAACAATGCTGTACGTACACCCCCATAAACCAACCCTGTGGACCACCATCGAGAAGGGGGTCCTCTCCACGCACATGTCATTCACGTTAACTCACCAACACACACACAGGGGAGAAAAAATATAGCCAAGGGTTGATGTCCTTGAGAGAAGAGAATATCTCCTTGGATTTCCAATTATATTGAACAATTAGATTGTTAATTATAGTAATTATTATTCGGATTAATTATATTATCTGTCCACTTCGAATAAAATAATTAATGAATCGATAAGTTAATGATCATTTTTCATTTGTGATATTTAATTTTAAACAATTAATCAAGGAATCGATTAATTAATCGATCGTTTACCGGTGGAAAAAAAATTGTAATCGGAATATTTTTTTCCAAATTTTCGAAAAATTTCTGGAAAACTTTTCAGAATTTTTTTTTTGAAACAAAAAAAATCGGGGGCAAAACAATTGTATTTTTGGTAAGTATTTTGAGGAATTTTTCAAAAATTGGTTTCGGAATTTTTTAAAAATGGAGAATTATATCAAAACACTCGTTGAAAATTTTTATATAAATTCTGTTGTCACGGGGTGTTAAAAAATTGAAAGATTTCCACTTGAAATTTCAAGTGGAATTTTCTAGAGATGTACCAACACACCGAGATTGAAGACCACAGAACCCTCGATTTTTCACGGTGAATATTCTAGTACAAGGGAACGTAAACACACGGATAAGAGAATAAAGGGCCAGGGGTTGATTGTACTAGGTCGCCCTCTCGACACACATTCAAACATAATCAACCCCCGTGAAACAGTTTATCTTGAACTGAGAATTATGGGGGAGCATGAGAAGGGGCTGGTATTTCAAATAGGCAATACTTATCTACACGTCAAACCATTTTGATAACACCGCAGTAAAAATGCCGAACAATTATCGATTCATAACTCCAAACGTGAATAAAAAAAAAATGCCACGACTTTCCACGATTTTTTATATTAATTTGTCGATGGAAATTGGTTTTCGGGAGAAAATCAAAATAAAACGAGTGAAAACTGTTTTATTGTACCAAACTCAATTGAAAATTTCTCTGGCAATCGATACAACTGAAACAAATGAATAAAATGTTTTTTATTGTAAAAAAATAACAGAACCCACGTACGGAAATTGAAAATCAAACCGAGAAATCCTTTCCGATGAAAAATTGTTTTCCTCATGTAAAAAATGAAAAACATGGACAACACGAGTCAATCAATGGTTGTTAAACAAACAATAACCACGGAATTGGTTTATTTCCATGTAAATTTGTTGACGAAATATTATTTCGAGATTTTAGAATCAATTTTTTCATTTTTTACTGCAAATTGGGGAGAGCGTAATTCACCGATTGAAAAAAATTGATTTGATGTTTTGCTTTCACAAAAATATCTTTGCACTGGATTTTCAATTTTATTTGTACATCACGGAAAGAGGGCATGAGGATGTGCGTCGCCGTGGGCCACAGCTGAGACGTCTGATAATCCGGATTTTGGATTAACGTAAGCCCCGAAGAAGTCCACGCGGTCGCTGGCCTATTCCCATTCTGCTGCACGTCAGATACAAGTACAGTAACTCCTAGTCACTCATATTTGACCTTGTCCACTCCTGAAAAATTCATATCGACAAGTTTAAAGCACAAACAATTAAAAAAAATAAATCCAACAAATAATAACAAATAATATATAGCTTTTTTTCTAGAATTATTATTATTATTCCTACACGGAGAGAAATATTTAGTAAAAATTACGGAACTTTCTGTTCACTTACCAAATAGTACAACTGCCGCGATAGTATGAAAACATATGTAAAGATCCCGATGAGCTATACATGGATAAATAAATAATAATAAATAAAACACCCATAAAACGTAAACATTAAATCATCAATAATTCCTCCAAAACAGTTGAGTAAAAAAAATTGCACATTTACCCATTCCATAAAAAACTGACGTAATAAAATTTTGAATCATAAATATAGAAAAAGTACTTGTAATTACCCAAAAAAAAAAAATAGTGAAATGTGAAATTCGGGTGATGCTTTAAATGGGGTTAATCTCTCTGATTAAAATTATACTGGAGCTGTCATTGGTCGTGAGGCATGACGTACTGAGGGCGTAATTTCACCAGGGATTAAATGCATAACAAGTACAATGGTCGGGATACGTCGAAGGCAAGGGATAACTTACCGTCGGGACCACAGCAGCGACACGTGTACAGACACGTGAGTATCAAACGCGTTGAACCGTGACACATTCACCCCCTCGGGCTTTCCGTCTTCCACCCAACCACCCCCCGCCCTCCCCCACTCAACCCCCACCGATCTCTTATCATTGCACATCTTATCTCCACTCCCCTGTCGCATAAGCGATAAACCATCTGACGGGTCGCGGGGTTCCGGCGATTTAATCCACGAAAAAAAAAATTTAACTATTTTTATTCATTGGAAAATATAGAAAATATAGAAATATTAGAGATTTTTTAATTCTTTTGGTAATTACTATCGCAATTATTGTGGGTCATCGGGGAGAGGAGGAGATGGGGGAATTGTCATGAGGACAGAAATTTAATCGGACAATTTTTGGAAAATTAATGAAAACGAAATTTAGGAAATGAAATGAAAAATCAATTTTGGGAATATTTTAGAAATAAAGGAGAGGATGATTTTTTAATTAGTTTCTATCGACTTAATAGTTTTTTGTAACAATTTTCTTGATTTTTTCTTTTCGAAAGAATATAGCAGTGTTTTTTTTTTAATGTTTATGAAAAAAAATGTTCTCAAGAGTTTTCCAGAAATTTTCCGCAACATTTCCGAAAAGATTGGGATTGCAATTTTTTTACTCGGATATGATGATTTAAATAAAATTGTTCATATGGTACCGATGAAAAAATTAAATAGTAATTCATGGTTAATTCGTGTTTGAAGATGATCCAAATGGGATTCCCCAGGGGTTCCATGAGATTCAGCTGGAATCGTCGCGATTTGAACAAGGGTGGCAAGAGGTGCACCGTCTGGGGGATTTTTCGTGTACATACCCTGTAACAGGAACCCCGAGGGAGAGTTTGTCCTAGGAAGAGTCCCAGGGGTGCACCTCGGGGTGCTCGAAGGCGGCACCGCATCTGTCGCACTTCAGTCTTCATGTAAAAATTATTCCCATCGTCAATTACCACTACAAATCATTTCTAAAATTACCCAAGCCTTTGATTCAAAACATCTCACAATAAATCACTCGTCACAATTTTTCGCGCCATTTCAACACGAATAAAATTCAAATCACTCCCGAAATTCTCAAATTAATTGCTCCACCCACATAAATTATTCATATTCCCCAGAAGTAATTATTGAAATAGTAATGAATAATTAATGAATTCCAAAAATCGAACGAATTTTTCGTATTGAAATAGAAAATTCCCGGATTTCGCGGGAAATTCACGTCACGTGTAATTTTTTTGCGGGAAAATACCAGAGGATTTTCCCCGTCGGCGACAAATACCTGACGTAAAATTCATGAAGACCTCATCTCGATGATATTTGCAGAGCAATCCTGAGCTCCGGGTTGAATCCATCTCTCGGTTACTGAATTATTCTTAAGGTAGATGAGAAAACCAGGAATCTCCTGTTGTACTCAGAATGTTTGAGTTTCTCCCCAACTCCCCAAAGACCAAGTGTGGATATACAAGTGATCCATCTCTCCTCTCTACGAAAACAGCACCCCGGGGCGCAGAAACACATCAAAATCGAATTCACCAGATGTCCGAAACAGTATTTCCCCACTGGTTGTTCCAGGGAGGGTCGTAGATAGACTTCGGTAACGATATTACTGAGGGGATTGGGGTGTTGAGGAGCGACTTGGGAGATCCGGGGAGGCGGAGAGAAAAAAAAATTCAGACTGAAACGATTGCAACCGGTAATAAAGCGTGTAACTACAACAGGGCCCTCCAAGGGTCAGGGCAATAACAGGGAAAAAATTACGTTTAGGTGTTACTCGCAAATCCACGGAGACCTCGTTCACCGCAGGACTCATAAATAAACAGATAATTGTAATTATATTCTTTTAAAAATTTTCTCACTTTGAAAATCCAGCACTTGACCCTAAATCCCTTCTGTAAAAACAACGGAGGAATGAAAATTATGGAATTATCAATCAATTTTTTTAATGATTAATTCTTATTTAATAACCGATTTAAATTACGAAAACGAACGAAAAATGTAAATGACGAGAAAAATCCGCCATGTCTTCAATTCTTTTTCATTTCGTTAAAATTTGAATCGAATTGGAGCTTTGTAAGAAGATAGCAGAGATAAGAGGGGTTATCTGAGGTTTTCCGCCATTTTGGGGTCACCCGTTGGCACAATTAAAATGGCGGAAAAATTAAATAACACTTCAATGAACTAATGGATGAATTACGATTGATTTTATGGTATTTAAAAGAGAAAAAATGAATACTTTCGTTTGTTTTCAATATATATAATTCTTTATTCTTTCTCCATTCACAAACTCCCTCGCACTCCCCGAATAATCAATTATTTTTGCCATATATTTTAATATTTACATCGATAGCCGTCTCAACAGTTACTCGTTACACGTCCTATCATTAAATCCTTTTTAGTATTTATAATTAAAATGACAATTAGTACAATGTTCTTTTTTTATCCTCATTACTGAGTTAAATTCATACGTGTCTGTGTGTCAGTGTAAACCGTAAGATTTCTTTTAAATTTTCCATCATCCCTCGTGCAATTGTCGATTATTGCACGTGCGAGACAAAGCGATTGATTTTTTTTTTTCATTTATCTACAGAATGTCGCCATAATTAACGTTTAATTATAATCAACAAGGAGGGGTACATATTACACGATGAGGAATTCTCCTTCGTTCATCTGATTTTATACACAAAGATAATAATTTCTTTCTCATCAATAAAATAATAATAATTGATATTGCCAAGTACCGGTGACAATGAATAAAATAATATCAAATAATTGAATGATATATTCTCGTCACAGCTGACTGAAATAAATCATTAGTAAATACGTTATAATATTAATCAATAAAATCAATAAAAAATGCAATAATTTTATATCATACAAAACAAAAATGTAAAACGTGTTTTACCGGGACGAATTCACTTTTATATTTCTTAGATTCAACTGTCAATCTCTCGTTTAATTTTTAAACATTATCTTTTTTTTTTTTCATTCAATTTCATTTGAATTATCATCTGGACGCTTACGAATGGTTTCAGATGGTACGTGAAACATCGGGTTTGGTAGCAAAAGAAGAGGCCACATGATTAATTAAACGTAAACTCGTTCTACCAGACGAGGCCCTCGTTCTGCATCTGGTGTTGCTCGGGAAAACCACCGCCACCTCCACCTCCACCGCCACCAGGACCACCACAATTTCCTCCCCCACTGGGATTACCCTGTCCACCACCTGAGGACCAAATAGAAAGAGGTGGCAACCATTCCAATAAAACAATTCAATACCATAGGATAAAAATAGGGTAAAAATGTCAATCGGATTATCGAGATATTCCGTTATCAATTCAACTGTAATCCTAGCGTTTGCACGCTCTCGTGTATTCAATCACTTCATGGAGATGATTGAAAAAAGAACGTGGGAATTTGCGCGACGGAAAAGTCTACATTTCGAGACTCGCAAAAAAATTCAGACAATATTTTAACAATTCTCCAGTGAAAATCGAATTGATATAAATAAAGATTCTCTCGAGATTAATTTTTCCTCTAAAGTGCTAGTCATAATATTATAATATCATAATATCATAATATATAAAAGGAGAAAGGAAATTGATCTCGACATTCTCGAAATATCTCGAAATATATCGAAAGGCCGTAGCACGCGACCGACCCGCCACCGACGTCGTGGCTAAATCTCAAATATCTCGAATGATTGACCTCGAACAAATCCTGATTTACCGTTTCGTAAAATTACCAATCAATCAGTATTTTTTATCGTAATTATTCATCATTTTGATTTTGTCTGAAAATTCTGGGTGTCCGATTTACCGAAATAAATGTAACTGTCACAATCACTCGCGTCGGTGACAAATCTCCAGGACATCCCCGGTGAAGAGATTTTAAAAAAAGTCGGAGGAAATTTTCTACTTCTCTCGAGTTCCGAGATAGCCTCCGTAACCTGATTTTGACGGGAAATTGACTGATCTCATTCCGCTATTTCGTTACTGAATTCATTTCATTTCAACGTACGACAATTTTTCCCGAGATACTCGAATTGTTGTTAAGATCATTTTCACCGTGCCCTTCGCAATTTCCATGGAAATTATTTGTAATAAAAAAATATCATATAAGTTCAGCTAATTCTAATTTTACGGGCGCCCCCGGGTAAAAAAAAAATTGTAATCAGAATATTTTTTCCAAATTTTCAAAAAATGTCTGAAAAACTTTTCAGAACTTTTTCATTTTCTTTTATTCTCTTCCGATTTTTTTTGTTTCATAAAAAAAATTTCTGAAAAGTCTTCCAGAAATTTTTTGAAAATAAAAAAAAAATATTCCCATTACATTTTTTTTCCGGGTCAGTCCAGGTAAATAAAATTAAACAGGAAAATCCTGTAAATAAACGATTTTTAATTACCTGAAGGCGCTAGGAACTCTCCAGGACTGCCACCTGAGGTTGGTTGAGGCCCCTGACCTGGAGGGCCTGTGAGAAATTCAGGTGGACCCCCAGCAGCCCCCGGTGGTGGATATTCACCTGCCACTGCCGCAGCGGCCGCCATTCCCGCTATACTCGCAGGATCTAAACCTGTCACAAACAGATTGGGAACTGTCATCAGATTACATCGTGTCTCGTTCACATCTCCGAATCCGTGGCTTGAATCAACTAAAAATTCCATTCCCATTTTCAAATAAATATAAAACTACATCCACCAACCACACACAATTTTTTTCCCCAAAGAAAATGAATTAGACATTGATTTTCGCCAAATTGGATGGATCTGAAGTACTTACCAGGATTTCCTGGACCAGGAAATGGTGGTCCATGCGGATGTGGTGGTGGATGCGCTCCAAAGAACTCATGGTGAAAGGCAACAGGACCACCGTAAGGAAAATCAGCGAATTTTTCACCGGGAAAGTAAGGAAAACCCGGTGGTGGTCCATCCTCACCTCCTAGTGCTCCATGATTTAGGTTGAGAGGAAAGCCCCTCATTTTTCTCGAACCATTGAAGAACGGACTCCTACCCATTGTTGTCAATTGCTTCAACCTACGCTCTTTACTCCTTTTGTTCTGAAACCAAACCTGGAGGAGCGAAAAAATCCATCATAAATAATGCAATCCCCTCGCAATTAATCTCCCCAATTATTCCAAATTGCTTCGATTATTACCTGTATGACTCTCATCGGCAGACCAGTCTCTTTCGCCAATTGTTCTCTAATATGTCTCGTAGGTTTCGGCGTCGCCGAGAACGCAGTCTTCAGTATCTCCAATTGTTTTGCCTTAATCGTAGTTCTGGGCCCCCGTCTTTTGGAACCAGCACCCCCATCACCGCTGCCACCCCCTGCACCACCATCAGGGCTTTTGTTCTCCGTTTGACTGTCTCTCGTCTCCGGGTCGCCGTCTAAGGAACCTGAAAGAATTTATTCAAGATGTCCTTCGAATCAATCAAATCAATCAAATCAATGTAACATCAAGTTTAAAATTGCGGATAGGCAAATCGCGAATTTCTTTTTTTCCCAATAAAAATGTCAAAGATATTTTTTTCCCATGTCCACAAAAATGAAGAACATGCAAATTCAGTGACTCTTAAGCTGCACAAACAGCTAGACAGCAGGTATGCCCTAAGGGTACTCGACTGATTATGTATATATATCCGTTACCCATCGACGCGCAGAAAATCCTGGGGGAAGCCTCCCGGAGGCTAGTGATATAAGTAACCCCTCGGATTATAACCAGTGCCCCCTCCGACCCAATGGGGCAACATCACGATAATCTAGCGAAATTTCTATCTGAAAGGGGGTCTTAACCGCGGGGATGGAAAAAAAAAATGTTTGGACAGTGTCACACCGCAGAGTGCAACCCTCGCCCGCACTGATGCCCCAAAAGTTTTATCGTACACAAAAGCAGAATGGGTACACCATTGTCGTGAGTACCTCCACTCTCTTTATTTTTCCTTTGTTCTCTGTTGGCTTCTCTCTTCTCTCTTTGATAAAAGAGTAGCGGTACTCAGGCGTAAGATGGAGTTTTGGGTATCATGCATCGGTGAATTCTAGTGCAAATCGTGTTTGTTGATTTTTCTGCCTCGACCAATGAATGCGATCTTTTGAGGATCGGAACTGGATCTCTCGTGGAAAAATCCAGTACATTTTTTGTCACTGGTGTATCATATATATTTGTACATAGATTTGGATAGATTATGTATACATGCTTGGTTGCTCTCGGTGGTCTTACGCGTATGAAACGTGTACTTGGCCGATCTCGATTTTAGTTCGATTTTCGATTTTTATATTTAGCGCCAGTTATTTTATTATAATTGATGTGTTCTGGGGGATGATAAAGGGTGATCGTAATATTAAAGGGAAATATATCTCGAAATTCTCGAAATATCTCGAGTGAGATCGACCTGTCAAATTAATAAATTAAAAATAAATTTATATAAAAAAAGATGGATTTTTCTTACCCTGGTCTTCCGAGTCCTCCTGCTTGCAGGAGTCACTCCCAAGAGGTAAATCACCACCATGAACCACTGACTGATCACTGGCACTTCCAGGACCAACCCCATGGCCTCCCAGATGTCCACCACCACCAGCATGATGATGATGTCCACTCCCATCATCGTCCTCATCCTCCGAGCCCGATCCCATGAGCGAATCACCACCTGTCGGCAGAATCGGCGATTCTTTTACGAATCATCGAAAGCATTTCCAAAGGTTAAAACTCCAGTTTATTCTTTCTCTCGTCCATCAATAAAATAAGAACTATTGGATTTTTTTGTAATAAAAAAAGAATGGGGAAATAATGACGTTTGGCGCCTGGTCGGCACGTCCTTTCGGTGGAAGTTGCCTTGTGGTTTATTCCCTGCGGTTGCCTGGCGGCATGCGACAAAAGGAAACCCACTGCGTAACGTAACGACCCCTTCGTGGTTGAAAAAAAAAAAATGAGAGAGAAAAGCCCCACGAGTGAGCCGAAAAAAATGCTGGAATAAAAAATGAAGATGGAGAAAGGTGAGGAGAATGAGAGAGGCACTCGCTCGAACGCTTCCCCTCTTTTTTTTTTTTTTTTCTCGTGTAAGGGCAGTGGTGGTACAATCATATGCAATGTTTTCACAGCTTGTTCACCCGTCGGCTGCGTTTCACCCTTGCATACAGACTCTGATTCCGGAGACTGTCGGATAACAAGGGGTGAGCGATTTTTATGACGCGTTAAACCGTGAACTTTTTTAGGACAATTCTTTCGGGAATTACCCCCGTTCGTGGAAAATTACGTGGGAAAATTATTAATCACGCGGTTGTAATTTGTTGGAAGTTATGGGTGTTGTTTGGATTATTTGTTTATTTAATTCAGCATTTATTTTGTTTGGGGGAGTTTTTGATGGACGCATCAGTCATTTTTTAGAAGTTATAACGTATTGATGGGATAATTAATTAATTAATTAATTAGCTAACTCCATTTTATTGTCAATGCTGGATGATTTCCGGGGCGTGTTAAACCCTGGAATTTTTTATTTCAATTTTATATTACAAAATATCGCGGAAAGCCTCGGAAATATTTAAAATCCCGGAAATTGTTTCCATAATTTTCAATCTCTCTAAAATTTAATTGCACTTGACGTTTAAATTCAAAATTTTCATACAAGTTCAAATTTTCATCGAAATTATTATATTTGTATCGCGCAGACTTCTAATTGCGACTCGGCTCGTAAATAAAATTTTTAATATTTTTGTTGACGATCCCATAGAAAAATTATAAAGGTAACTCATGCCACCAGCTTTTGTTGAGAATAATATACGATCGAAAATATTGAAATGGAATATTGTATTTTTTAATTTCCATCTTTTGAGCTCTAGTGATAAAACTCTATGTTTAGTACGTGTCGATGGTAATTATGTTTTAGTAGCGGATCGTTTCGCGTTTCGAGTCGCGGGTCATTATGGCCGTCAGTTGTAAATTAATTCTTTTGACACGTTCAGGTGCTCGATTATCTCGAAATTGTTCCACCCATCCCTCAACGATTCTAAATAAATTTCCACAGAAAAATCGAATGAATTTCCCGTCGGCCTAGAGCGGGAACTTCAAAAATCCGAATTCCCTCGAACTATCCAGAAACTTGAGAATCGATTTGTTATAAAATCTTTAAAATATATGAATATATAAAAATGTCCCATTCCAATTTTTGAAAAATTTTTCCAAATCTTTCCGAAAAGTTTTCCAGGAATTTTTTGAAAATTTGAAAAAAATATTCCAATTACAATTTTTTAAAACCCGGGATTCGACATCACAGGTAGTCTCAGTATAAATTCCCTCCCAATAATTCTCTCCATAAATAAAATGCCAGAAATCAAAATTGTCAGTCAGGCCATAAAAAAACCTCAATAATTCCACCTGACATCTTACAATGTACATCTCCACCTGTTCCCAGATTTATAATTTACAACGGCTCGTAAATTCGTCAGAGGATCCAATAAACCTCACAAATGCCCACAGTTTGATATTCAAAGGAAAATACAAAGAAAAAATGCCCACAAAACCCTAAACAACACCGTTGAACCAAAACGTAATGAAAAAAAGAGAATTCTGGAAAAAAAAAAAAGATTCTCAAGAGGCAGTGAAGCGTTTTCTAATCCTCGAGCCATCAAAAAGCGAAGGGTTATGGAGGCAAAAGGCTTGACTCTTGAAAAGGTGGCGTTTGATTTCCACTTGGATACGCCCGACGGTCGACCGACTTACCATGATGTCCATGGGCATGATGGGCATCCGGCAGGGGCTTTCCCGACAGGTAGTCATTCTTGCAGACAAACTTGTTGTCATCCAGCACGTAGAGCTCTTCACCGGTGCTCAGCTGTTTTCTGCATACCAGGCAGGTGAAGCAGTTGAGGTGGAATACTTTGTCACGTGCTTTTCTCACTAGATCTTGGGGACTTATCCCCTGCATGCAGCCACTGCATTTTGTCCCGTATCTCCTAAACAATTTAACAGAATTTTCATTATTACTTGTTAACAATATTCCAATTATCAAAGAATTTTTCGCTGTCTAATATCTTCACATAATGATTTTTGATGATTCCAAATTATTTCATATTTTTTATTTCAATTCATTCCAGAATTTTTGCAATGATACCGCATTTTTTTTATTTTAATTGATTTGAAAATTCTATAATAATTCCCGGGTAAAAAAATTGTAATCGGAATAACTTTTTCAAATTTTCAAAAAATTTCTGGAAGAATTTCCAGAAATTTCCAGAAATTTTTACGATTACAATTTTTTTTTATCCGAGGTGAGAGAAACCGAAAAAAATTAGGAAAAAGATTTTATTCTGATCCCCTGGTCTCAGGGAAATTTTCAGGAGCCGATGGATTTAAATTTTGGGTAGAACGCCCTCGGCAGTACGAATAATCCGACTTCCCAGAGGAAAATTGATAAGAGTATTTAGTATTCTACACTGTTGGTAATAATTTTCCTTAATTACTCCATGAAAAGGTAGTCTCAAATCTCCAGTCATACCAATGACCTCGAGAGGAATACCAACATCTATCCGTCAAGCTTGGCAGCTACTCATCCAGCTGTAACGAAAATATTTTTTCCCCACAGAAGAGCTCACCATTAATCCGCAATTGCACCTCGAGATGCACCTCGCGAGCAATTTTTGAGACTTCACGTACTGATTTCCGATCACAACGAACGCACGTGTGACGAACTGATTGTCCGCAGGTAGAAAATCGAACAGAAATTAGTTTCGCTAATTAAAATACCATAAAACAAATAGACCGGAAACGCGAAGAGCGCGATAGTCGGATAGTTTAAAACTATTGTCGCAAATTTTAATTACAACTCGATGAAACGGGAATGATGTGCACAGCGAAATTCAATTCGAGTGAGTGAAACAAAAGTGAATACATTGAACTGTTTGACAATGGATTTTTCACAATGAAAAATGAATTAACTCGCGGAATTTCAATGGAAATCCGAGGGGTGATGAACGTGAGAATAACGTACGATAATTAAAAGACAGAATCATATCAAGTGAAACTCTGTGGAGTGTTTATTTATTCGAATAAAATGGATATTTTCATTAGACTTGTCTAATTAATGCACTCGTGAGCTCTCATTTGATATTAATGATTATTAAATTGCGGATTTATTACAGAATTCGCAGGCAAGGCTGGGAATTCCATAATCTAAAAAATCTTAATCATTAATTTTCCCGGATAAAAAAAAAATTGGAGTCCAAATATTTTTTTTTCAAATTTTCAAAAAATTTCTGGAGATGGAAATGAAATGGAAATTTCAAAAAATCTTGGAAAGTAAATACATAAACATGTACATAAATAAATAAAATATAATTCACCCCAAAATATAACGGCCGTAAAAAAAATGAAAGTCACTTCAAAAATTTCGAAAATCCCGCAAAAACGTCTGATCCCCTCAAAAAATTAGTGATTGATCCCAAAATGAATTACAACAGCGTGAAAAAAAAATTCCACAACGAAACAATTTAATTGCCATTGAAATTCCGCCGATGAGTCCCCCATCGGGTCCCCCCGAAAATCCAAAAAGGTGAGACCCCCCGAAAAGGCTCCAGAAAGAAATCCCGTCAGAATTCCAGAAAGAAATATAGACCATAGGTTTCTCTCTAAAAAAAAAGACATAAAAAAAAAGGAAGGGGGTGGGACCTGCGGGCAGCGATTTGCTACGGATTGCCGCGGCTTCTCGTATCCCGTGGACATGTTTCTTTTCTACGTACGGTTGTACTCCTGGGGCCACGTCCATTCCACTGTCCATCGTCTGTCGGCCCCTTGTCCCACGGATAAACAGTTTTACGTTTCACATATATGAGACTAACATACAAAACACTCACCGTGAAACGCACTTAATGGCTTCGCTTTCCCGCGCATGTACCTCGCGTACTTTTAGCATTTAATGCCGCGATATGGAGGGAGAAGGAGGGGGAGGGGGATCATTCGCCCTCAGTATATGCACCAGAAAGGAGGAAGTTAACGTTAAGTCATCGCCGTGATTTTATATCGCTAGTACAGATCTTTATCCTCTATTTTTAATTTTTATTTTTTCCTTTTATCCAATTTTTAAGAATTTTTTTCCTGCGGCATCTGGAAAAGGAAAAGGAAAAGGAGTGAGCGGTGGTAGGGAGGAGTGGGTGGAGAGTGGGTGGGATGTAAAGGGTGAAAAGGCAGGGGGAAGGGGGAGAGAGTGTGAAGGGGATGAGGAAATACATCATTAGTTATCATCCGTCATTTTGCAAATCGTTAGGCTTTAATGAGCTGATTATTTCGTGGGGGAAATAAATGTACTCCGGAGTGTGGCATCAGCTGACTATTCGTTTATAAATCATGGAATGACAAATCCCGTGGTTGACCGCAAAACAGTTGGTTCTTTTCAGTTTTTATTTATTTTTTTTTTTTCGGCGGTCGACCGAAGATGCGAGAGGTCGTGGGAAGTTCGCCGGAATTTTGATGAGGAGTTGGGAATTTTTTGGGTGACGGGGTGGAAATTCGGGCGCAAGGTGATACACAGAGAGAAATATTCAATAAAAATTACGTTTATTTTTCGTAATTCTGGAGCGAAATGTGGTTGGACAAAATTTTACGGAATTATCATTTTTATCTCAAGTCACGGAATTTTTCTGTGGTATTCCGTAATTTTTATCTGAATTATCAGTGAAAAATTATGATACCGTCATTTAAATTTTTCGAATCGACTCCGTAATCGGTAAGTGATCTGAAAGTTCGGTAATTTTTACTGAATATTTCTCTCCGTCTACCAGAAGAGATTTTAATTCAATTGAAATTGATATTTGAGTCGAGTAGAAACCGCGGAATTGTTCGCGGATTTTTTTTGGCCGCAGGGTAGTGCGTCTTGTGTATATCGCGAAATATGAATGAGTATGAATTCTCGGAGTTGAAAAAAAAAAAAAAAAAAAGATGTGTGAAGCGCCAGTGACCCGCCAGTTCGTCCGTCTGTCACAATCGCTCGGTTTGTGAAGAAAAAATGATGAAAAAATGATGAAAAAAAAAATGATGAAAAAAGGATTGAGAGAAAAAGTTGAAGATCCCGTCGAGTTTATACGAATCCAAAGGTCTTGTATCGACCTTCCTGGAATGGTTATAGACGGCGTCTAGAATCTCCATCTCTCTCTCATATCCAGAAAAACCGTCACGCCCAACGGACTCTCATGAGGGCCCAAAGCGTCACGGTACATTTATTATATTTCCACGTTCCAAAGACGTGTGCGAGGATAGGGCCCCTACCAAGTGGAGTTGTGTGAATTTCTCAGTGTTTCCAATGCAAACTCGGGGGAAAAGAGAGAGAACCTCCGGAGAATTGATGCCTTTGAGAGGAAAGAAACTTGGGAACCGTGCCGCGGGAGTTTTAACTTCTCGCGCTCCTCAGTCGCGTGGATCTTTACGATCCTGTCTGGCCACGACCGGTTATCCCTCTTTACCTCGGAGATATTTCTTTCTTTTTCAACCCCCTCGACAACTCATTGGATTTTCTGGTTAATATTCTTTCCACATTTTTCGAATTTGAGTTTATCCGACACTTGTCGCTTTTCCCACCTCGGGTAAATAAAAAATTTTAATCGGAATATTTTTTACAAATTTTCAAAACATTTCTGGGTAACTTTTCGGAATTTTTTTCTTTTGAAATAAAAGAAATCGGGGAACAAAATTATTTTAGTTTTGGGAAATGTTTTGAAAAATTTTTCAAATATTTGTTTCGCAAAATTTTTTTTATTATTTTCTAGACATTTTTGCGAATATCATTTTTTTTAAATTATACTTTCAATTGCTTACTTTTTCCATTTTTCAATATTCTCAAAAAATACGTCATCCAAATTTTTCAAAATCTTTTGCAAAAATAAAATTGTTTTGTTTTCGATTTTTTTTTTGTTTCATAAAAAAAATTTCTGAGAAGCTTCCCCGAAATTTTTTGAAAATTTCCAAAAAATATTCCGATAACAATTTTTTTTACCCGCGAACGTTGCAATTATAAAAATCGTACGATTGAAAATTTCAAAATTAAATCAATGCCGAATTCCTGGCTCGGAATGAAAATCGGTCGAAATAAAATAATTATTAAAAAAGAGACAAGTTTATGATTCAATCCTAAATGAATTCTAGGGAAATATTTCTTCTGGAGAAAACGGAATTTAATTCGATTGAGTTTAATTGAGGAGAAAACGGATGTTGCGACAGTTTCGTCACTCGGAGGAACACCAGTAGCGCATAATGAATTCGCTAGCCAAATGCATTTTTCATTGGGGATGCAAAGTACCTCATAAACTATACACGGCCAACATACGTTATGCACAGCGCAAAGTGAATGTAACTATCAAAACAGGGCACGGTTTCGTACAAAGAGCGTCGTTCATCATTCCTGAGTAACTGCAAGTGCAGCGTCACTTTTATGCGAACATCTATCTTGATTTTCCACGACTCCAATACAGACTTTTTCCTCATTTCCATGAATATCTCGTGACTCAATAAGGATACAACGTATTTTCTTCTACCTTTACAGTTTATGAATTTCCCATTTGATTTGCTGTTAATATAAACCCGTTTTTCCCTTCTGCCAATTTTTCACGAGAAATCCCCGAAATTAATTTTCTTTTCAGTCTCCAGAATTCATAATTTACTCTATTATTTATTGTAATTGATGTAAGACAACTTGGATATTTGTTTATATTTTTTTTTAGTTGTTAAAAATTGAGAGTAGCATTTTAAAACTGGGCCGGAAGTCGGAAATCATTTGAATTTTTATTTATATGCCCGGGGAAAAAAAAATTGTAATCGGAATATTTTTTTCAAATTTTCAAAAAATTCCTGGAAAACTTTTCCAATAATTTTTTTTATGAAACAAAAAAAAAACGGAAAACAAAGCTTTTTTTTTCGGAAAGGTTTTGAAAAATTTTTCAAAGCATTTCCCAAAAATACAATTGTTTCATATCCCAATTTTTTTTTTTTTTTTTTTTTAAATTTTCTGAAAAGTTTTCCAGAAATTTTTTGAAAATTTGGAAAAAATATTTCACTGTAATCTTCAATTCCACTTAAAAACCAGAACTGGAAAAATTGTAGAAAATATATAATGACTAGAATATTCAATAAATAAATTGATTAATAATTTTTAATACCACTTTGTTATCATCATTGTTAACAATAATTTTCTCCCAGTGCAATTGAAAATTATCGGTTTTTCCAATCGCCCGTGAGTTGAACCGATCGAGTAACAAAAATGAAAGTACAATAGCCCGAGATCGACTTCATAACTCGACTAATAAAAAATCCATAAAAATTGGCCTGAATAACACCAAGTCCGAGGATTACGCGGGTTGAAGTGCCTTTTACGAGAGGCCAACTCCCACGAAAATGTCAAGGTCTAACATATATATCGGCTCTCTCACTGGGCACAGAACTTTTTTTTCATTCTTCAAAACTCCAGTTCGATAATTTCTCAAACGACCTGGGGATCTTTTTAGTGGTGGGGAAGTTATTCTACGTGCATCGTAAAAACGTCATGGTGACGCCGACAGAGAGTCACACTTACGGCTTTAGCCGCTGTTGAGTTCACTGATGGGGATAAAGATATATTATTGAGCGGAAATATAATATACCCGATAAATTTCATTTTATTGGAGTATTTTCAGGGGAAACAAAAAGGCACTGTATTTTTTTAATAATTCGCTGAAGCTGTTTAGCAACTAAAAGTGACCACCCATGCGCAACAGCCCATCATCAGCTGTATAATTCCATCGTTTTGTTTTAACCATTATTTATCCATTATTTATGATATATCGCAATTATCGAATGTGTTGAACGCGTCCGGATGCTAGTCTACATCGTAATTACGATGGGATATTGTCGGGCACTTGGGAATGACATGTAAAAATTGCAGGACAAGGGCGATGACAGCATTCGGCTGAGGATAAACCCACGGAAGAAAAATATATATCAATTATATCAGGATATATATTCCGCAGATATATCTCCCAGATATTTCCGTTTGCATCCCGGATTTTAAAAAATTGCAATCGGAATATTTTTTACAAATTTTTCAAAAATTTCGGGAAAACTTTTCAGTCATGATTTTAAAAATGAATTACATCGACAAATTTATTTGTTATAAATTATCAAAAAAATAATTTAGGAAATCATATCATCGAAAAAAATACTAGAGCATCTGATATATATTTAAACAAATTTGCTTTTTGAAATTGATTAAAGAGATTAAAATTCTTGCCCCCGTGGAATTATCATTTTTTATTATTTTTATTGATTATTGATTAATAATAATTACTCACCGGAAGAAGTCGTTTCTGCAGAAGATTTTTGAGTCTCGAGAGAAGCACTTCTCCGAGAGCTCCACGTGACAGTCGAAGCATCTCACACAATCAGTGTGCCAGGCTCTTTCCAGAACATTCACCAGGTATCTGTCCAGGATAGGCTTTCTGCATCCTGCACAGGTCAGGAGCATCGCCAGACCGCTACACCTCCCTGAAGTCATCATATCAATTTTTAAATTGGCAGCCACAAAAAAAAATTCGTACTAAACTTGCAAATGAATTATTTATAAATGATATAACATAAGATAATAACAATAACAATGTAATTATAATTATTGTTGTCAGTGCAAGTGGATGTAACTGAATTTTTTATCAATTAACTGAATTGTTAAATAAAATAATGCAACCGCTTTATTTATTTTAAGCGATTTAATTGTTAAGTCATAATTTTGGTGATTTATTTTTGAAAATGAAAAGAAATTTTGATAGATCTTGATGAAAAATCGGATATCGTAATGACGGAATTGGAATTATGACATTTAATGACATTTCCACAATGGAAATGGAAATGATGACGGAAATAATTACTGAGATGAATGAAAATAGAATTATGGAGGAGGAGAATTCAAAGTAAAATGGTGAAATGCATAAAAAACCGAAGGAAACTATTTAGCGGATGAAAAAAAGTTATCACCAAGGGGACAGCAGCCTGTAATATCCTCTCCATAAAATCAACAATTTATTAGAAGTCTGACAAATGCCAACAAAAGCCCATCTTGTTAATAACATCAAGTGACAACCCGCCTTCCAGGAACAACTCAGACATTTCAACAATTTTCCTTCTGTCCCATCAACTAAAGCACAACAAAAATCTCGTGACAAATGTCTCGTTCCGGTAGACTTCGCAACACCATCTCCAGGAAATGATAAAAATCCTCAAAATCTCCCTCCCCCTCCTCCCACATATTTTCGCTCATTAACCAGATTCATTAATTTCCCGAAATCCGTAATAATGAGAATTTAATTGGGCAAGAACTCCTCCGAAGAAATCATTATAAAAAAAAATATAAACGAGAAAAAAATTTGTCGAGTGTAAAATCGACAGAAATTATTGGAATTCATGCAAAAAAGTTATCAATTAATTAATTAATGGGGCAATTAATTTAATGACGGAATCATTGACCGTCGTAAATCACGTGAATGATTAAACCTATACTGATTACTGTTAATTAATCACTCGCCATTTTTAACGGAGAAAATGGAATTCAAATCAGGGAAGAGAAAAAAATTATTGGTCGCATCGAATGTTAATGAAGTCGAATTGAAAAAACTTATGAGGTATTGGAATGATTAATTCGGCTTTGAGTGACATTAATTATCTCCATACATTTCTCCCACAATAAAACTCATCTTTATCACACGACATAAATGTCACATTTAATCAATTTAATTCCAAATCAATCTTACCGATTAATTTCCAATTGTTTACATTCAAATAATAAAAATTATCCAAAATATCTGGAATATTGTGTTATTAAATAAATCAACGATTCAAATCCCGAACTGGAAATTAATTTCCCCGGGTACTTGCATTTTTCATTTAGATTTCCAAAATTTTACACCCAAACAATTAAAGTTCAAAAGTTCTCAAATAATTGTTTATTAAACAAATAAATCGCCGACTCAATTTCGGAATTGCAGATGAATTTATTTTTTTCAATTTTTATTGAGATTTCAAAAATTTTCTGAGTTTCCATCTCGCTGTGCGGATAATTAAGGGTAAATTTTTATTTATTCTCGGAGTTAAAACAGGATGTTATATTTTTTTATTAATTAACCACCTCGACTCGACTCCAAATGCTTCTCAAGTTCCTCTTTAATCGCCATATCTGTCCTCACGTTCGCGATGAACTTTAACGTATCATCAATTTTCCGTGATGCCTAACAACTGTTCTCTAACGCAGAGTCACGGCACTAAGCTACACCAGTTGTAGTTCAGTTGTATGTAGTTGTTTAGCCAACTTGAAGAGTGGGTGGAGCCAAATATCCCCCTCTCCACGAGGTACTGGCGCCGTCAACCACCCCTTCTTAAAAATTCCGCCTTCCTTCACTCTCAACATCCCCGACCTTCACATTTATCCCCCATCTGTTCCATTTTTAAACAATTCCCCTAAATAATTGAAAATTAATTTTTCTAATCGCTTTATCACCCACGATCTCCAGTAATTCAATCCGCGAAAAAGTTGTCACACCGTGTAATTGAATTAATAAGTTCAGACGAGATTAATTAATGTCTTTATCACCCGCCAGTGTCACCTCTGTAATATTAATGCGCAATGCTCCAGACGTCCTGTTATCGTGATTTTAAATAAATAATATAAATATGTATATAAATATGTCATAAATAAATCGTTTGTCATGTCGAGAATTATTACATACGTCCAATTGTTTTATTCCGCTGTACATCCGCATTGTCTTGACACCAGAAAATTATTCAATCCCCGAATAATTAACGCAACAATTACCCGATAAGATCTGAATTCCTATTTCAAAATTACTCCGAATAAAAAAAAAACTCCAACAGAAACTAATTATCCACTAATAATTTTCATTCATTAACCGATTTATTATTAATTTTTATTACCCAATCATTGAACAACAAAAAATTCCCTAGAGACTACAAATAAATAAATAAATATATAACTAATCGGCACTTGTGTAATTGATTGTTATTCCGCAAAAATTAATTTTTTTCAGGAAAAAATATCTCCGACTTGAAAAAATAATTCGCATCGAAGTCATTGACAACAATTGATGAACAAATTGAAATAATTAATAATGTGAATTTTAATGGCATACGAACGATAAGAATAAGAAAGATAAAAATAGATGCTTACCAATATTATGGGCCTGGGTGAGAGCAAGAGGAGCACAGGAGCGAGGACCCCCAAGGGTTGTCTCCCTAATCCTGGGGTTGTTGGCGCCAACCCCAGGGGTACCTCCCCCAGTACTGGCCCCGTACCCCTCCACCTCCCCAGCCACGACACCAGCCGCCCCAATTCCCACTCTATCAATGCTAAGTGGGCCCAAAATTTGTCCCTCAACGGGCCCAAATCTATCAAAAAGTCCCGAGGGCCCCAGTGCACCCACTTTTGCTGAATAATCTCCACACACCGGCCAACAATACACCCCAGAGCTCCAGAGAGCCCCCAAATCGCCGAATTAATCCAATCAACCAATCACAATCACAATCACAGCACAAAACACATCAACAAACCGATCGAACCAACAAATAATAAAGATCCACGAGATAAAACAATTCCCAGTAATTCCCAAAAAAAAAAAAAAATCGACTAACCACGCATCGTCCTCTGGGCCCTATTCCTATTTTTTATGATCGTCAAGGTCACGAGAATGACCCTCAAAAATCACCACAAAATATCAAAACAAACAAATAATTAAAAAATTTCACTTCAATTCACTGGAGTCTGCGATGCGACGGATCGTCCCCAGCATCTTATCGCCACAAAATAACGCGATGCTCAGGGATATTTCCACCTGATCCACAACCAGCTCAAACTCACTAAAAATCCTTGACGCTGAATTGTTTAAACAAATTCGATCGAGTGAAGTACGATCGGCGAACGAGTGAATTGGTTGTTTGGATGGGGAAAAAAAAAATATTAAGAGTTTGGACGAATCCCTGAGCGCGCTCGCCTCGAGGTTCGCCAACCGACTGGCCGCACCTGCGACCTCGAACCCCCCCGCAAGCCTCAGACCACAAACTCATACTCCAACGAGTGAGCTCAGCCCAGGCCACGCCCACTCATCCACTCGCGCTCACGCAACCCCTGAATTGACGGAGGCCATTGGTAGATCGGTTCGCCGTGTGGGCGGAGTCATTACCCCCTACCCGTACCTGGAGATGGCTGCGGAATGGCTGCGCACGGTAAGCATCTTGGATCCTCTGATTGTTGGTTAGAGTGGGTGGGGGGTTCTGCAGTAGCGGCTGCCGATGGTGCCGCCTCGTGACTGGACGGCTATCGATCCCCCGGTTAATGCCTCGCTCTTTCCAAAAGAGGTAGTCTCTTCATTTTTTTTTTTCTCTTTATTATTATTTTTTAGGTCTAAAACATCAAGTGTATAAACGGCTACTGAGAAAACGCCACAGGTTACTGAGGTACTGCAGTGAAATTCTCGCGTGTCTTACGTTCAATGGATGGCTCTACTTTTGGGAAGGCCCAGGGGTCGGATTTGTCGACGGGTTGAAAGGGTTCAACCAAAGATTTTTATTCTGCGAGGTGAAACAGAATTTTTTTTCACTTCTACCCATTTTTTTATATTTATTTGTTTTTACAATTGAGAGATTACATTATTTGAAATTAAATGGCGATGATATCTTCACCGAAAAAACGTGCACTTTCAATGAATTATTACATATTATGTAATTATATTTTATTAATGCGTATATGGATGGATTAAATACAGATCCTACAATTTTCCTCGATTTTTCCAGTGAACCGATTCCTCTCCGAAATCATTCGCCTATTTTTGAACTTACCAAAAATCCTCGGCGCCTCAATTTCAATTCATGATTGAATAAAAACGAAGACAAACACATGACATCAATGAATCAATAAAAAAAAAGACTTACCTAATAGTTAAGTTAATTTCAATAACAATTAGCTCAACGAACACTAGTCTTAGCCACAAAACACGGGAAGCGTGCCATAAAAAACCGAAAACCCCGAGAATTCAATTTCTGGAGTGAACGATAATGTTCACGTAAAAATAAAAAAGAAAAAATGAAAAAAAAAAATCGTACTTTCCCACATTGAAACGTACACTTCTCTGAAATAGAAACCACACTCGAGATTAGGTACAAGAAACTTCCAGTAGGTACGTGCAAGCAATATATCCAAACATCATCTTTTTATTCTAATGCGAAAACATAATAATATCGCTATTTCACGACCCACCTGACTCGAAATCGTTTTCAGTTATTATGCGCCATTGTCCTGTGGTCGAGTTAGCCGCAAAAACTGATGCCCCTGTGTGCACATGTTGAATGCAATTTTCACGCGTTTATCTCTCGCGGTAGAGAGACAATTATCTCTGGCTTTATATGACACATAGAATACCAAACAGTTTCGTCTTAAAAAACTTGCAAAATGCAGATTAAATATTCTATTAATCAAGATGGCAGTACTTACGTCCCAATTTTTGCATCTATAATTGATTCCATTGTTGATAATTGCCGTTGATTTTTTCAATTGAACATGCTGGTTATCAGGGATTATTATCCTACGGTATTTTAATACTTGATTAGTCTTCAATGAATTAATTCCGTGGAGGTGTGACTTGTCGGCAAGTGGAAATAGTTCAGCCGTAGTCAGACCGTATCGCCATCAGGGGAGATATTCACTTAAGTCGTAAAATCTATTGAGTGTTGCCACGTCGTGGGCATTCTGTTAACTACGTCCTTATCTTGAACCCCTCTCGAATGGTAAATCGAAAAATTTGTGGTATTTTTTCGTTCTTCCAATGATACAAAAAATATTTACACATTTTTATCGAAAATTACGACTTTTATTATTTTTTTAGAGACACACATGAATGTGATTTGTTTATATTTTTCATTTTTTTTATCCGCCTTAAAAATATTTGAAATTCAAATACCTCGACTGACATCTAATAAATAAATATTGTAGATAATATATATAAAATAATTACTGAAAATATATTATCAATATTGCAATATCTCCGAAATCAGGATCAGAGGAAATCTGTAAGAAAATTATATTATGGTCTATAAAAATTTCTCCAATTAAATTGTCTTCAGTAATTTCTCTGAACAGTCATTTTTCGAAGATATCACTTTAATTCGTAATAATTTCGACAAGTGCAATTATTTCAAGTGTCTACAAGAATTTCATAATAACTCCCCAAAACTTGAGATTATAAAAACTAGGAATCTCATGTAAACTTCAACAATTTTATCTAATTTATTGTCTAATTGTAAATATACAAAAAAAAATAGAAAATAATTTGTACTATGTGCTAGCAACTTTCATGTCTTGAAGAATAAAATCTAATTCGATCTACGGTTGTCAATCTTCCCTATTTTGGTGGGGATGGTATCCCATCCATTGTCTGAAGGTCACGTCCATGGCATCCTCGACACCTCGATCAATTGGTCTTATAATTAATGGAATGGAGGCGAGCCCAACAGCAGTTGTAATCCAAGGACTCCTCAATGCAGCACTCGTCGCAGGTTTTTGCAAAAATCGAACACCAGCGCAAATTCGATTTATTACGAGACCTGGAACTATCACAGAAGCAAAACTCTGCCAGAGGAGAGTATCCGTTGCAGAGAGTAACACTCGTCTATTTTTTCCATCTCCACTTTCTTTCTAAAATAAATCCAATAAATATTTAATTCAATTTCATTAATTATTCTCAAGATATTTCAATTATTGAATCATTGAAATATTCTAAGGGGTATGAATGAAATTGAATAACAATCAATTTTACTCCGAATTACAATGACAATTGACAATTTCATGGTCTCATTAAAAACACTTACAGAATACTCTCTCGACCCTTTATGTACGGTATCAGCAAGTACGTAACCACTGGCAATTACGTAACTCAGCCACACGACAGATTTTGGGATGAGACTTCTAAAGGCCTCACCAACTTCATTAGTATATCCTAAAGACCAAAAATCATTCAATTAAATTACAATAACAAATCCCAGATATAAAAATATCAAAACTGTCAATAAAAACTCACCCAAATATCTCAAGCTCGTGTCCCTATAGACATCAAGTTCCTTCTCGTGCTTCATTCTAATTCATAAACAAATGATTACTTAAATTATTATAACAAACGCGACCTAACCAATAAAAAAATTGTCAATGCAGATCAATAGAACTGAAATTGGCGCCCACCTCTTGCACTGGGGAGGGGATTTCCCTTTCCTAGGGACACTAGGGACTTTACATCTGTCATTTTTTCAAAGTCAATCACCTGACGTTCACCATAACCTGCACCCGATTTATCACCGATAATTTCATAGTCCTAGATGTGAAACTTCACGTGAAGCTGCACTCCGGCCTCCAATTGCAATGACGGTGCCGGGACATTCGTGACTCATTAATTCTCAACGAGTATTAATAAAAAAAGTAATTATTTCATGATTTAACGGGAGATGATGCTCGATATTGAGACAATATCGCAATTAATTAGCAATCAGATTAATGGCATTGGTGACTGGTGGTGGTGGTACGTCAAGGAGATATCATGGCAATTAATTCTAGCACCAATTGCTTATCTACTCGTATGTATATTTATTTATCAATTGCTGAAGAGGGTTTGTCATCGGGCATGGCAATTACCAGGACCACCAGGCAGACTTCTCCTCGTTACAGCCCATCCAGACGATGAGGTCATGTTCTTTGGACCAATGATATATTGGCTTACTAAACTGAGGAATAGCAATGTTTATTTGCTGTGCTTCACCACTGGTAATTTACATTTTTTATCGCTTTCTTTGGGTTGATTTTTTTTTATCCCGGAACCTAGCTAGGGGATGGAGGAATGGTCCATGTGTCACGCCCTTTACTGTTGTTTTTTATTTAGTTTTTAATTGCTCTCATCGAGGGAAACATGTGCAATGTGATTTTAGATAATTTCATTGGGGCTTTGCGGTTCATCTTCAGGGCGGATTATTATTTGTCTATCAATATATGTAAAGTATTATTTTAGGTGGACACAGACGGCGAAAACAGGAGCTGTGGTCTTGCGCAAAGATCATGGGGATTCCTGAGGGTAATGTAACTATTTTAATGTGAGTTGGAGAAATTGTTCTATTTTTGATGAATTTGTAGAGAAGGAGGAAGTGCGATATGTCTTGGCTATTCACACGATAATTGTGGGATTTAATTAATTAATTAGTTTTGTCTGTTTCATATTCTTCGTCTTGCTGCTTCCCTACAAAAATAATAAATACATTCAATTTTTTTTTGGGGGGGAATTGATCATTTCTTGATTATTCTTTCAGGAATTCAGAGCTACCTGATGACCCAAAAGTACAATGGCCGGGAGTAGTTGTAGCAGAGCATATTTTGCAATATATTGAGACATATAAGATAAATGCAGTAGTTACCTTCGATAAACATGGCGTGAGCGGACATAGAAATCATATATCGTTGTTTTATGCCGTTGCATCGTTGTGCATCGAAAAGAAAATACCCTCCTGTAAATATTCGCTCAAGTCAATTTCACTCCTCACTCTTTCCCCATTTATCGTGAATTTTGCGTATTTCAGATTGCAAACTGTACATTCTCGAATCTGTTAATTTGATAAGGAAATACGTTCAACTCTTGGATCTACCAATCAGTCTGTTGACATCTTCCTATTGGTATTTGGTGACTTACGAACAGCGTAAACTTATTCATGTGAGTCGACGTGTTCTGGTGGAAACATTTTATTATTGAGATATAATGATTTAAATTGAGTAATTGATAATCTCAGAGTCGAATGAATGAATTTCGAATTTTATAGAAATGAATAATTGTTTCAGAGGGCAATGGCAGCCCACAAATCGCAATACGTATGGTTTCGCAAGCTCTACATGCTCTTCTCCAGGTACACATTCATCAACACCCTCCAGGAGGTGAACGCCCTGGACCTGGAGCTTGACTTCCAGTATGATGACTATTAAACCAAATTTTTAATATGTTTATCCTAAGCTGTAAATAGACCAAATAAACCAAAAATTTCTGTATACCTCTCTGTTTGGCAATTTTTCTTTATTACCTCATTCTGAAATCGAAGATTACAATACATACCTGAACGCAAACACAAATAGCGATTCAGGTGAATAAACATTAAATCTCAGGTTACGAACGATAATTGGATAATCTCTCTCTTTATATTATACAATTTACTTTGTAGATGTCATCTAGGTAATTAGAATCAACACAGATATTTGAAACTTGTTCTAATTTTTAGTACCAAGTGATGAATGATTTTGGCTGTCTTTTTGATATGTAGATGGAATATTTGTTAATGATAATTCAAATCATCTAACATTGATATTTTCACTGAATACTGCAGATTACCAAAGACAGTCGACAAAGCAATAATATATTCCTCATTAAATATCTATATAATGTATATAGAGTTGCATTTATAATTTGTCTTTATAACTTTTTTATTGAAAAATTGTATTTTGAGCGGATGAGAACGGAAAAAGATATAATACTTTCTATATGGACGTATGTCTTAGAATGTTCCTTCAACCTTTGCTGCTATACATTTTCATTTTTAAGCTCCTCAATTTTGTCTTCACCTTCGATGAATTTGGCACGGCAGTTGTAATTATTCTTTTTGCAAATAAAACTGCACGAGTGGAGCAATATATTTTGTGGGGAAGTGTTGAATCGACTCGAGATATAAATAAGACTTGAGTTATTCTAGATTATAAAATTCTCTGTAATGCAGGCCTCATCTCAAGAAAATTAAAATAATCAACGAATTTTTTTTTTCTTGCACGTCAGAGTAATTTGTTCCGGAAATAATTATTAAGTTGAAAAATATTTTGTACTGAATTCGATTTGAACTATTTCAACACTTCACCACTCATTTCTTTTATCACTCATCTAATTCTCCAATCGTGAATTGCTAACTTGTTTATTAATGAAAAAATAATAGAAAAAAAGCATAAAAAATGGAGGGAATGAATGTCACAAGGAAGTGGTGAAAAATCAGACAAGTATTTGAGTAATTGTGGAAGGTAGAGGTACAGAAAAAAAATGTCATGATTTTTTTCTCAGAAGATCGTAGAATTTTCTCAACGAAAAGTCTAGTGGCAACTTGTCCCTAAACCTCTTGCCTTCAGGAAGAATTTATCTTCAAAATCATCTCCAAGTTTTTCTTAAAATCCTTCACCACTCAACCATTGAATTTACGATCTCAATTAACCTGTCACTCTCTAATAAAGTGGAGAATATATTATTAGAAAAATTGCATACAAAAACAAAAATTATCGCCGAATTATGAATAATTGATTGTTGTATCAAATTGGCCTTCGAGATATTGTGTGTTTCAGATAAATTTGTACTTATTTTAGACAATGTTGTTGTTTGTTAGTTATCCTAGAAGGAGTATGATTAAAAATGCAATGGATACACCAGACCGGTATTTTGATTATTGCAATCGAATTCTCCCCTCAAAATAGCGCCTGCAATTACCTCTACTTTTTTAATAAAAAATATAAATGAACACACTTTGTGCAACAAATGAATAATCATACCGAATCTCAAATGAGCAAAAATTATTGCGAGTACAAAAATATGAATTCGTGATAATACTTAATGAATATGATTTTATCGCTCGGTCGAAAGGAACTTTTTCGACGATTCTGTTCGCATTCGGACTGTGAACTCTCAATCGCCAAAAATATTCCTAACGACCTAGCAACGAATATATACTATAGTGCGAGGCCGTGGAATAAGTTTGTGCATTTTTGGGCGTAAAATTAGATAAATTAGGCGAAGCTTAAGATTAAATAAACCTCATTGCATGCACAACCGTATCTCTCACGTGAACTGGAGATAATTGAACGAAAAAAAAATGCAACTGGAAGATATGTTTGATTGTCACGTGAGACTTTCGAAAATAATTTTGACAGTCAAGTGATAAAATGTGACTCAACTTTCACTTCTCGTTATATAGGACGTGTTATATCTCTGCACACGTGATTTCATAACAAAATTTATTTTACTCTTCTTCGTCGATTTGTTTTAAATACTGACGATTTTTTATTTTTGAGTCCCTGGATTATTAATTATTTCTACAAAAAATTATTCAATATTAATAGATTAATGATCGTGCGAATCTTGAGTCGACATTTTACCTCTTGACGGGTTTCCTCAATATTCATCGTCTTTCCCGCAAGATCTTCCGGTCGATGGATCCCCAACTGATGAAAATGATATTTTCTACATTAAATTCTCCTCCAAAAGCTGAACTGGAGTGCAAAAATATTTGAATTTTCCAATAAAAAATAAAACAAATTTTCCTTTGTTGTGTGAATTGAAATATTTTTCACTCCAAATTCGATTTTTTTTGTTAGTCATATCTAGGCACCTAATCTATAACGACAAGGAATTACCCGAAGAACGATTGATGTTGTACGACAAAAGAGATTCATTTATCTCCCCCAAGTAATCTAAAGAAATGAAAAGAAATTTGGGAGACTTCAAATGGGGCTCAAGGCGAAGATCTCGCGGGCTGTATCCTAGAATCTATCTTTACTACGATGATGGGTTAGCGTACCCATGCCGTGCTGTGGCGATTCCCCATCGCCAGGGTCCTGGAGGTACTGGAGCTCCTGGAGCTCCTGGAATTTCTCGTGATCACGGATGTGGGCGTAGTTGGCTGAGAGACACATCAGGTAGTGAACAAGACTGAGAATCACAAGCATCGATGCTGCTGTGGCCATGATAAACATCCCCTCTGCCTTTTCAACGCCATCCTTGCAGAAATCTTTTATCTCCTTTGGTCCACATATTTTTAGATCTTCATCCCTCATGTTACTGGGAAACATGAATGCTGCGAAACGAAATAATTAAATTACACTAATTAAATCGAACACTACGAATAGACGATGATTTTTATTTTAGGATTTATCTTTACCGAATTGAGTGAAATTTATGCAATCAGCTGCAGACTGTATACGAGGATTCGCACACAATCCCCAGAAGATCGTGAAGATCAAAGTGGTGATGACCAAAAATGCCAAGATCAAGAGCCATCCGAGGGTCAGGACGTACGTAATCGTCATAAACTGTAGGAAAATAGTTCGAATTAATGAACCTCCAAGGAATTATCATACAATGATGCATTTGATCCGCGAAAATATATACCACAGCGCAAGTGATTCTGCCTCCAACCCTGGCTCTCCAGGCTCGATAAACTTTGTGCCTGGTAGCACCAGTGGCCAGACATCCCACACAAAGGATCATGAACCCAAGAGCTGCCATACATGCACCGAGTGTTGCAAAAATCAACTGCAGGGCTTCCAGCCAGCTCAGATGAAGATAAAACACCTATGAGTGAATTAAAAATACAATTACAAATAATACAATTACAAAAAAGTAGATTGAATGATGAACAATCCAGATATCACGTCAAATCGTTATCAATTTTATAATTATATGCATGAATAAATTTATTTTCATTGAATTAATTATTGCGGTCATACTTGTTCCATCAGGATTGCAGTGAGTGTAGCACCTCTGTACATTGAGAAACAGAAAACTCCCACACCCAGACAGCACATTATCGTGGCAATCAGGGTGGCATAAGGCACCCTGGACATGCAGTCGTTACACATACCTATAAAATTAAAATTCAATAGCGATAAATTATCCCGAAAAAAAAAGTTAAACATCAATCTCTGATAATCTTTCAAATGAATTCAAAAAATTGAATAATTCCTGAAAACCCTCACCCCTAGATTTTCCATCATCCGAGATGTCATGCAGACTACGTTCTGAATATCTATCAATACTAACAGCACTTCCCACAACATTTCTCAACGGAATCCTCACCGTTCCCTCTTCCTCAGAATTACCATAACTTCTCCTCCCCATAACAATTCCCTTTATAAATTAAATTAAAAAAACGAAAAATATCGTAACTCTATTGATTTCTCACTCGATGATCTTCCAACAAGCCACATATGACTGATCTATGACTAATAAACCCCTCCACTCAGTCCCTCCAATTCTCAGGAAGGTATCAAAGATTACCGTATCCACAATTTTATCTCGACTAGTATCGATAAGACAAAGACTCGAACACAACTGTTCACCCTCATCCCGTGGATAGTGAACACTTCCTGAGCATCAACACAAAAAAAAAAAGTGATACGTTTCCAGGTGAAACAAACGTTATTCAACAAAACATCTTACCCATTGTTGATGGTTTTGGTTATTTCCAACGGGTGTGGACGCCGTTACGAACTGAACTTTTTCCTAACCCCCTTCAATGACCAACGATGATATTAAGATTGAAGGATTGTCAATCCCCCCTCAAAGCCCTCTAATAAATATCATCCCACTCGCAATTATGAAATAAAAAAAACTCCCAGGACACGTCACAGACAATTGTTTACTCTCTCATTACACCTACAACAATGGAGAAAACAACTCCAAACTGGAGATCGTTACTCATTCGATTCGTTAAATTCAATGAAAAATCCTTTCTAATGCACTTTGAAGCCCCTGCACTGTTATTATTCCAGGAAAACTGTTTTTATTTTCATTGGCACGCAAATGTCATCGGACTCTGCGCACGATATTGCACTCAATGAATCCAAAATGGCGGTGAGAAGATTTTTTTTTATTGTCCGAGGGATTGGAAATCCGTTGAGTACTGATGTCGCAATGACGGTCTTGTGAATGGATTTTTATGTCTCGAGATATTGAGATGAATTTAAACTGATCGTAGGACTGAATGTGAATGAAAAATTACGGTGGAATGACTGGAGATTGGGGAGGGATAGGTGACACAATTGTCAGTCGAGGTCAATGAATCACTAGGTGGAGTACGATAATTACACTTTCGCCTGGGTCATTGCTGTCATTACAATGCCTCAACATTACGGTTTTATCATATTCATGATTTAATATATTAATATATATTAATATTTCCGAATTAATTCTTTTTCTTGTGAATGTATTTTATTCTTCGAAATTCTCAGGAAAAATTCAATGACTCCTCGGGATTGATTTATCGAAAACTCACCCTTGAGTTGAGTTGAACTACTCGATTTAATCACTTCTCCCCTGAATTGAGTTTTCAAATAGACGAGAGGAAGATTTAAAAACTTTTAAAAACTCTTATTCGACCTTTTCCTAAACCTCAGGTACTGTAAAGCTGCAATCAAAATGGAAACGTTCTATTTTGTCTTTTTTTTTTGTAAAATAATATACTTTATTCAATCTCAAATTACTAGTACTTACATACCGGTTGAATCTGATATAAAAATAATCCTATAAATTATGCCCTCAATTCATTGAGGTATATAATACACATTTAACGTTACACTTATGATCAATTATATAGTCATTGAAATTATCTTAGATTCCTGTGTTTTGGTTGGGCGAGATGTTTTATAATAGTCGGTAGGTCTTTCAATTTTTCACGAACCGTATAAGGCACTTCGGAGTTGGACTGGTGATTCCTGGAGTACCTGGTGATAGCTCCTGTAATACTTTCATAGACTATCCCTCCTCCAACGCTTTGAGGACTTATGGTCAATGATGAACCGTCTTTGTACTCCACTTTGATGTCACCGGATGGCATTTGAATTGCAACTCCAACTCCAGGGACAGTCACTTTGTTGAAATTATAGGAAGGAAAACGCATTGAATTCATCTTCCGTGAACGTGTTGTTACGCCTGAGACTACTGAGCATGTAGCATCAAATGAAGGCATCTAGAACGAGGAAAAAGAGAGATGAATTTCATTTTAATTTGCTCGAATTATAGAAAAAAAATAGCCTACATTGCCATATATGAAAAAAAAAATGTACTAAATTTATAAATTAACTTCTGCATTTTACAAACAAACAGTTTAATTAATTTAATTTAATTCATCAAATTAATTAGGTCTCGTAATCTGAGAATTTGCTGAGAAAAAAATTCTGCCTGAAAAGATTTGTCCCAGAAATAATTCTCAAGCAAAAAAAAACTTACAACCAAGGGACTGCAGGTGGTTCTCGACACGTTCTCCTTCCCCTGAGATCTCCCATCGCCCATTGGCACAGGTCGTCGTCCCACAATAGCTGGGAAGTACGAGTGCCCAGTAGCAGATCCTAGAGAAGCCAGTGAAGACTCAAGCAGAAGACACCTCTGATAGCACTCCTGATAGATCTCTAAATACTCCTCCAGCTCCCTGGGCACATCTCCCTCATTAAAAATTCCTCCACCCTCCTTCTGAAACAACTTGATAATCCCATCGACCTTCGTCACTTTAATTCCATCATAAAAATGCAATTCGCAATCTGGATGAGGTCCATTTTCCATGAACAAACATTTGGCCTTTGGTGTGTAGAGAGTCAACTTGGGAGTCTTCATCTTCACCATTTTCACGAACTTCGCTGCGTAGAGATATTTCTGGTGATGTCTAGAAGGTAGACTCTCGTAGGAATAAATATTATCAGCCCCTCGAGATGGCAGGGGTGGGGGTTGATCCCCAATTTCCCTGATATCAGGTTTATACAGAACAATTCGAAGCCCATCGTTGGATATTCTGCAGACCTCATTAATTCTGTCTATTGATGAATTTTTCTTCTTTATAAACTCGATGCAGACCTCTCCGCTGTCTAAAATCGTCAAGACAAAGTTTTTAGTTCGATGTCGAGTTGGAAGTAATCGTTCAGTATTGAGAGGTGGGATTTGAAGTTTTGTATGAGTTTCTGGTTCTGTGGGGCAGCTCGTGGGTGCTGGATTCACTCTGCGTTTTTGCCTCTCACTGTTCTGTCGATCTGTGTCCTCTCGACCCACGTCGTTGCTACGTCGATGAGACATTTGCATATTCTGGGAAAATACACGGCTTCCAGGACGGGGAATTCCAGATAATACTAAATTATCGGTGGAGCTGTTCGTCTGTTTTCTTCGATGGTTTTGGTTCAAAATGTTGGGATCAGTAATTGGATCACTGCGAGTGGAGAACTGGGGACGGGCAGGGGTGATCAGAGCTGGAACCGTCGAGGTTCGTTCCTCGGAACGAGAACGAAGTCGAGGCATCCTACCACAAGAGGAAAGTGTTCGACCTAGCCCTGAGTCAACCATTACATCACTAGACATTGCTCTTGGCAATACTTTATCGTGATAAGGTCTCTCTTTATCCAGGTACACGATAAAAGGATGTTTCGGTATATCTTTGAGTTTAATTCTCTCCATCGGATTTTTCTTCAGCAACCGTTCGATCAAATCCTGAGCGACATCAGATAAATAAGAAGGAATTTTGTAATCAGCCATTACCACTCTGGTCAAAGTACTCTTGACAGCATCCGTATCAAATGGAGGCCTCCCAACTAATAAAGTATACAACAGGCATCCCAGACCCCAGACGTCAGCCTCCAATCCGTGGGATGATCGAGTCGCAACCTCTGGAGAAATGTAATTTGGAGTTCCACACATTGTCATGTGTTTTTCATCGGGTCTGGTTAGCTGTGTTGCAAGACCAAAGTCTGCGATTTTAACCTGCATGTCTCGTGTCAATAATAAATTCGAGAGGGACATGTCCCTGTGGAGGATCTGGTGAGCGTGCAGATACAGAAGACCCTGAACTACTTGTTTAATAATTCGGGCAGCTTGATCCTCAGGAAATCCGTGAGGATATTCAGCCTTCAGAAATCTTTGTAATTCCCCATTATGACACAACTCCAGTACCATATAGACGTAATTAGTGTCCTCAAAAAATGTGTAGAGTTCCAGTATCGCAGGATGCTTCAGTCGAGTGTGAATAGAAACTTCCTGAGCTACTCTACCCGCCATCCCAGCTGCTCGCATCATTTTTGTGTCGATCTGAAATTCATTCGAATCGATGAAAAATAAATCAGATAAAATAACCAGCACATGGTAGTCGTTAGCGAATTAATATTTTGCAGCAACAAGTGTCGAAGCTTGGCCTGAGCCCTTACCATTTTGATCGCCACTTCCATTCCCGTCCTGAGGCATCTTGCCCTGTAAACACTGGCGAATCCGCCCTTCCCCAGAAGATTTAACACCTCGTAATCCTGGAAACAATTACCAAAAATAAAATAATTACACGTTGAAACCCTAAAAATCACGTTACGGATCGGTGAATTTTGAAATGTTAACCTCAATGCGATCACCAAGTCCTCCTGACAACGGCGGCATCCCAGGGGTATCCTAGGACTTTAGCTCCTTGTACTTTCACCTCTGCACTAAAAGTGCAAAACTCCACCACCCACTTGTCATAAAAACTTGTTTGATTTAACCGGACAATCCTGAAATTAGGATCCGCAACGTCAACAAACACAAACTAAGGATTCCTCCTTTTTTTACGTTGCTTCCCTCCATTTTGAGTTTCAAAACGAATGGATTTGACGGGGAGGGGGACATGAAGTTGCGCACGCACCAACACGACGTGCCGCATTTTTTTAAATTGCATTTGAAGTCGTATACGTTCCATCGGTGAAATATTTCATGAAAAATACTTAAAAGTATTATTTTTATTACGTTTTTTATTGTAACCATTTTTTTTTATTGACTTATTTAACATAATGTTTAGGCGATAAATCTGTCCTTCATGTTGCGTCAAAAAAATTAAATTTAAAAATTTGAAATTTTCAAAAAAATATCAGGAGAGCATAAAAATCGAGGAGGTATCCATGGAAATTTTTAAATTCAAAATTTATTCAAAAAGTATCAGGGGAGCATGATAATTGAGGAGATATTCACTGAAATTGGAAAATTCAAAATTTTCCAAAAAGTCTCAGGGGAGCATGAAAGTGGAAGAGGTATTCACTGAAACGTGAAAATTCTAAATTTTATAATAAAAACCGAAAACCAATTTCGTAACGAAAAAAATTACATTCACCGCCTCGACAGGTCCCTCTGACAGCTAACCTGCTACTGAGGCAGTTACCGAGTCGACTGCAGTGATACGCGCACCCTGCAGGTCCCCACTACTGTGCGCAAAGGCCATCGCGCCGGGTAAGGAACGCGCTAAAGGCTGCGCACTAGAACGCAACCGAGGAGTGGGGACGTGAGGGACTCTCGTCTGCCATCATTGGTCGACTGACGGGCAGGCACCCCCCCCCATTGGGTGTGGCACCCTCTCTCTCCTGGATTGAGGTACTACAACGCCGGTGGGGGTCACGCAAACCCCCCGAACTAGCCTCTCCTTCAGTCAACTCTCGTTGGGTGAGACGATGGCGTATTTTCATGTGAACGTTCGTGAAGGCGGGGTACGCGTATTTGAGTCGATTTTAGTCGACTTGATTTCCTGGAAAGGGGGGAAATTACTGAAAATGGTGGCTGCTTACGTAGGAGACGGACGAGACACAGATAGACACATCATTATTCATAAAAATTTTATAAACTACCCATTATTTATTCTATTATCAACTCCAGCCTCGGTCTTACCTCGGATAAGTATTTTCGAGGAACCAAAAGAAGTGAAATGACGATCAAATATCTGGGAAATACAGAGTGCACTGATTTGTACTACTGGAGTGATAAATCGAGTTATGAATCAGGATGGCGAAAATCATCGGGATTTGTCAAGTCGACGATAATTTTTGTCGTCAAGAAATCCAGAGTACATGCAATTTGAGAGTATTCACGCTTCCTGGGGATTTGAGGACTGGCCATTCGAATTAGGTGAGCACATAATCGAGGGTTTGTCACACCTCCATTTTAACATCCGATCATTCTAAGAAGATAATTGAAAGTGAGTAATATTGTTGCGGTGATTGAGTTGATTAAAAATATAATGAAAGAAGAGGAAGACGTACGCCGACGACGGGGTGTCCAAGAGCAGTCACTGGAGCTTCTTGTCAGGTAAGTTGAGGATTAAACAACATGCGCAAATTATGAAATAAGTACATTGGAATTTATGTAGTTAATTACTTAATTAACTGCTCGTTAATTTTTTCAGGGATTTTTCAAAGGTTCAAGCACGGTTGGGGGATGATTCTCCAGGGAGAATCATGTCATAATCCAGATTATGAGTTCATTAGTGTTTTTTATTCTGGATAATGGAGTTAACATTTTTAGATGCTGTGAGGTTTAGGTTCCTGTTGAGTTGAGATTTTAGGTGTCCCAGTGAAGAATTTCATTGGAAATATTCTGAGGTGAGAATTATTCTTAAATAATTTAATATTTTTTATGAAAATATTTAACCATTATTCTGCTTCTTAAGGGTGCGGTGATGGATTTTTCAAAGTAGATGGCTTTGGTAAATAATCTACGGGGAAATTGAGAGGAGAAAATTTTTATTCGTCAATGAGATACGAGCCATTTGATGGATAGGCTTCGTGGAATATTCAGTTTGGAATTGAGAAAATCAAAGACGTTATACTCACGACCATGAGATCAACCACATTTTTTATGAAATAAATCATTTCAGGGTGTTGTGTAGGTCATTCATCCCCTACCCTATGTCTCATTTATGAGAAACAGAATATGACGTTCGGCTGAACGAAGGAACGATAAATGACAATTTCAGGTGCAGATGGGGAAGGCGATTTGTCTCCCCGAAGGCTTCATCTTCGTCGATGATTGTTTAAACATTGAATTAATTCTTCGAATCCGAAAAAAAATGACACTTTCTCATTTTCGTTTTCATCTCCATTGGTCACCGAGTTGAAGGGAATTGTTATAAAAAATATATGACATTCTGGGTGGGACGATCAATGATCGACAATTGTTTTTGTATTTTTTACTGATTTATTCAAGCACTCAAAAATTACACCAAGAAACTAGTAATAATGATCTTAAAACTAAAAGGGATATTTAACACAGGTTCAATATTAATTGTTTGTATTTTTTTTTATTCACAGTTTATTGGTTTTTTACGCTGCTTTCTTAATTTTATCAATTACCAACACGAAGATCTATTCCCTAAACCCTTAAACCATTTTATGATGAGCCTAGAAAGGATAATTCCACAATTTATCATGTTTATGCAAAATTCTTTTTATTACTCCGCCATTCACCATTTTGAAATTTTATTTATTTCGTCACAGGACAGTTGGATCAATATACAAGGTGGATTGAAATAATTAAATCAACTCTCACCCCCGGGGTAATCAATAAATTGGTTTTTTTCATTTCTTTTTTATACAACAAAATATTGGTCTCTATTATCATTCAATTTTCGTTACGAAAATTTCATTAAAAAAAAGAACATCTCCACTCTCTTTTTTGTATCAGCAGTAGTGGTTTGCATCCCTACTTAGCCTTTTAAATATGTACACAACAAAAATAATTCGTATATCACACGCTTTGTACATCCTCGACGAATCAAAATTGAAATAATATCAATTTTCACTTCACTCACTCAATTCCACCCATCGCAGTAAATCCTCCTCACACGTCAAGTTCATCCCTCGACAAATAGAAGGATAATTTTACCCTTTCATAATAATCATTAAATAAAAATACCATGTGTCTATTTTTTATGCCACATTACAAAGTATAAACCGTATGAAATATCAGTATTTCTTTAGTCTTGTGCCATTGCTCTCCCACAATTGCACCCAATGCTACTGAGGAATGATTTTCCATTCATCTCTTGCTCATTACAATTCAAATTACTTACAAGTTAACAAATACTCACTATTGATACTTTATACACATCTCTATCGATTTTTCCACGCTCTCAATGAATTTCACATCATTCACGCGCATCCACACTGACAATTACTCCCTCAATCATTCACCATCTAATCATCATAAAGAATGTGGTGCAAACTTGTACGACTTGATGAAACTACTCTCCTCTATAACAACCGAGAAAAAAATTAAAACTGAAAATTCAGCCCGCGGACTAAAAACAGAAAAAAAAATTAAATGCGTAGACTAAACGTGAAAAGGCACTGAAAAATCATGCCGTACTAGTTTAACAAATTGTGATGTCTCAAAACTCAACTATCGAATATTGCGAGTTCGAAATGATAATATTTTTCAAATTCGTATTTTCTCGTTTAAATCGATTAATGGGCCCAAGTCAATAATTTTCTTATCTCTCGTGGATTAATTCATGCTTAACCGGCAGTTTATAAATTCACATAATGGAACAGAGTCCTGACAACTCGTGGCCCTTTTGCACAGGTGGCAAAACCGATAATTTCCTACCTTGTAGTGATGGCTTAATCGAGGCTGGTACGAGGAGCTGGGGATTCTCCTCGGTGACTATGTCAGACGACTGTGGCTTCTCTTTAGGCTCTTCAGGCTCTTTATTTGTCGTTATTAGAGTCTTGGTTATATTTATTTTGATCTTCGATTGTGGAGCGGGAATAGTAGAACCTGTTGATTCCAGCTCAACGTTACCGTCTATTGAACTTGTCATTGCTGCCAGTGTTGTGTCCACTGGTGCTCCTGTTTCAGGTACTATGGGTTCTGCAATTAAAAAAAAAATCATCGAAATTGATAAAAATTCATCTGAAGATAATTTTGACATTTGGAAAATTTTTTAATGCAATAATGACTCACCAGGTTCAGGATCTTCCGGTTCAGCTTTTACATGAACATTGCTGAAGTCGAAGACCTGTTCCTCAGTCTCCATACTATCGATTGGTTCCTCCTTGATCTTCACAAGATCAAAATTCTCAGTGACTTTCTCTTCCACCTCTTCTGTTATTTTCACCTCAACCTCGTCCACAGTCTCTACTGGTGGCTCGAGGCTTTCTGTGTTTTCCTCATCCATTGGTTTTACCTCTTCCTCAGTGTTTTCAGAAATTTCCTCTTCATTCTGTACCTCTGGTTCGCCAGGGGGTTCCACTGATTCCTCCGGAGGATTCATACTCTCGTCTGTCGGTTCTTCTGCAATGGATTCTTCTTTTGATTCCAATTCTGGATCTTTCGCATCATCAGTGGATGTGTCCATCGACTCGTTAATTTCCTCTTTTTTGTCATCCTCTGCGTCTGTTGCAGGCTCGTCGACGGACATTGCGGACTTCTCCAAGGCACGCTACATATTTTAATTCATTACTCGTTAGTAAAAACGAATTTTCATATTGTAGACGTTATCCAAATTTTAACATTTGCATTTTTTAGTGTTAATATAAATAATCACGAAGAGATATTTTCGATGAATCATTCAAACTAGTTTTTGACTCATCATAATTCTTTGATTAAAAAAAATCTATCTATTCTATTTTAAAAAAAGACTAAACCAAAAATGGCAAATGAGAACGAAAAAATTATTCTACAATGCATAAATAATTCTTAAATGATAATTAAGAAGCAACATACCGCGATACATTTTTCCTATATATTTGCAAGAATGTAAACAAAATTAATGTTCATTAACGACGTGGAATTCATCACATAGAGGCAAAATGAACATGTACGAAAGTTTCGTCAATGGGACACTAACGATTTATTGAGAAAAATATTGAGTGACTCACCTTGTGATCCTCTAGGCATAGGGGATGATAATTTTTCTCCTCGAAGATAACAGCTGGTCTCAAGTGCCACTCCTCCTTCTCCTCATTGTAAAATTGTTCAAAAGCATCATGGCATACTTGGCACTGTCCATCCTCGTCACTTCCTGTTGGTACACTAGGTAAGACCGTTTCCTGGAGGGTGTCTTCGGCATTTGCTCCCTCAGTCTCAGCATTTTGCTTCTCCATTTCAAACCAGCTTCGAGCTGTAAATTTAGATTTGAAATTAAAGCAAGAACAATAAATCGTTGAGGATAAAATTTTCTGATTATTATTGGCGACAAAAGTATTGATTGCAAGAGAAAAAATAATAACTCACCCCTATCATCAGATTCTTCACAAGTCTCGAATTGTGTCCAGTCACTGGTATCATAGTACCACATCCTAGAGTGCGCCTTCCTGGCGGAGTCCTTCTCCCTCCTGTTCTGCCTGAAGTGCCAATCCAAATGAGCACTGTACTTCATGGGTCTGTCAGGTCCAAATCTTAGACTGCACGATCCACACTGCATTCCACTGTACAATCCACTGAAATTCGGTGGGAGTTTGAGTGTCTCTGGCTTCTCGAATAATATGAGAGGTGCCTCAGGCTCCTTCTTCACCTCCGACTCCTTCTTAACTTCCGCAGCAGCCCCAGTAATCTTCGGGACAATTCCAGTGTCCACTAATCTCTGGAACAACTCATTGAGATTCAAGTTCAAGGGCAGTACTGGAGCAGCTGGAGTCTTTTTATCGGTGGGTTCGGCCTCGTAGGACATTCCAGAGGCTGGTGCCATGGCAGTGGACAACGCTGAGGACAGCATATCCAGTTGTAAATCAGATTTGCAGCCAGTCTGGAGATCAGAAGCATCCTGAGAGGCTGAGTCGTGCTCAATCCCTGATGTCCCAGTGTTGGCACTTCCACCAGCGGTCTCAGATTTTTCCCGAACCACTGGAACATCATTACTCCCCTCCTCAGGGCTCTCTCCCTTCATCCCAGCGATCTTAATTCCACCGGCGCGAATACCTCTAGGCAAAACCGAGAACCTGATGAAATGCTTCTTATCTCTGATCATAATTGGCTTGGGCAATCCCCCAAACTCCACAGCAAATGGCCTTCCATTCAGGAGAACAGTCTTCAACGAGTCCGTGAATTCCAACGTATGGGTATGACCATCGAGCTCGAATACCTGGGGCTTGGAATCAAGAAAAACTGGCACCATTGTCCTGGCATTGATGATGAGATTGATTTTAGCTATCACAAGATCCGTTCTCTTAACCGAGCCAATCTTCACCTGGGGCGGTGGTCCCTCCAACTTTATGCTGACCTTCTTGGAGCCGAGGTCAACTGTAATTGGAGGCCCACCGAAGTAACATTCGTACCACCTGTCATCGATGTACAATTCACGAGTGGGAGCACCTAGTCGAATTTTATGGACATCATTCTCATATAAAAATTCCTTATACGGCTCATTAAACGCACAGGTTATCGTATCCTTATCATCGATGAGAATTCTACGTGTACCATCCTGGAAACCAATTTCTCTGGGATCATCCCAGGACATGAAGACAACACCAATGGACCCATAATACCTGATCTCCCTGGGCATGTTGTCGATGTTGATGGATTTCATGCTGTCACTGGAAATTTCCTCCAGGAGTTTGGGATCAGGTGACGGTAGTTCCCTGCTGTGTCGGTTCTCCTCAGAGGAGCTCTTCTCATCGAATTGCGGAGGTGAGGATGGCTGCACAGAGGTATTGACAGAGTTGACAGCATTGGGAAGATGTCCGAGGAGATTCCCTCGAGATGGTCCATTAATTAGAAGACCACCAGGGCCATTGATATTGAGTGGATTAATACCAACAGGGCCTATCGGACCATTCGCCAGAAGACCAGGCATCATAGGAGCATTAGGACCCATTGGGCCCATGATTCCACCCATTCGTGGTCCGAGATTGGAGTTGAAGCCACTGTGGAACTGATTGAAGTCTGGACGCATTGGAGGGAATCTGGGATTCTGCCAGGGGCCCACTGGCCTAAATTCAGGATTGAAGTGAGCAGTTGGACCGAAGGGAGGATGTGCCCAGGGTCCTGGCTGCCAGGGCTGATTCCAACGTGGTCCATTCCGATTGTGGTGATCCTTTCTGTGTCCCATGTCACCGTCCTTCGGACTGTAGCCACCGATTTCAATGCCCTTCTCCCACACCAGAGAGCCTATCTCTTTCTCCTTCCTCTGAGCTGCTCGCAGCTTCTGATCCTCATTCATCTGCCAGATCTCTTGAATTAATTTGTGATATTCAGTTTTAGATATTGAACCCTCCCGCCACTGCTCCTCTGCCTGTTTCATGATGATCTCGATGTTTCTGTCTCCACGATCTGATTTGTCGGTATCCTTGTTTCTGCGGGGACGGGAGTCCTCGTCGCTGGAGAAACCCCGGCGACGATCTTTGGTGTCGTCTGAGAGTTTGTACAGACGGGGACGACCTAGACGATCTTTGTTACGATCTCTGTCACGCTTCTCGTCGAAACCGATTTGCTTCTCGCGATCGTTCTTCGAGGGTGATTTTAGTTTGGCCCAGCTTGCTTTATTGTCCTCACCGGAGATCACAGGTGGTGGTGGTGTTGGTGGTCTACCTGCCTTCGGGTTCGTCAGGGTACGCAGGTCAACATCCTCGTGGCCGAATAGTCTGGAAATGTCAAGTGTGATAATTGGATGGTTTTCAAGGATTTTGAGGAGATAATCGATTGTTGTGGACACGTACGCATCAAACTTCTCCGTTTTTGTTCTCTTTGTTGCCCCTCCATCAATATGTTCAGCACTTTGTCTTTTATTCACTGGTGGTGGCAGGACTCGCAGATCCAAGTCTTCTTCTGGAAATTAATAATCCGTGAATAAATTCACGCACTCCTAGCACCACGAAATCGTGAGAATTCAACTCCACGGCTTAGATAATCATTGCAATTGATAAATAATTAATAATAATTAATTAATTGATTAATAGTTGAAGATACTGTCGTTTTTAAAATAATATTACCGTCCATAAAATGATAATGGATTTTTTTTCAAGCGAATGAAAAATAATGGACAAATGTTTTATAAAAAAATTCTTTCCTCCCAAGATATATCTCCATCTCTCGACATGATGAATTAAAAAAAAAATAATCAAGACTCACTTTTTTGACAAATAGCAGCAGCAACACTGGGCGGTGGTAGAGCAGCCCTAAGATCTTCATCCTTATTAGCCGACTCAATGAGACTCTCCCCCTCGTCAACCAGCCCGGACTGTTCAGGACTGGAGCCCTGACCCTCTTTATTCCTCCTAATATAATTTCTCTGTCTCGTATTCTGTCCGATATCTTTGAAAGCTGGTGGATGAGGAGGTGATACAATGAGGGAACCAGACTGTTCCTCCTCAGTAAGACCACCTGTACTACCGATTGACGTTGATACCTCCTTAGCACTTAAATTACGCCTTGGAATGCGATAAGGACTTGGACTACGTTTTCTCCCTTTACTGCTTAATTTCTTACGATTTTTTGATAATGGGGATGAGGACTGTGGTGAGGTACGCAAAGACGTTGGTGAACTATCCGAGCTCTCCTTATCACGTGATTTTGATCTATCTGGACTCGTCTCACGATCTAATTTTATTAATTTTGTTGGTGAGGATGACGACTGCTTTAATCGCGATTTATTACCTAACTTTCTATGGGCTGATTTGGAGGATGTCGTTGCTTTGTCACATCTCGATGATGATGTATCTCGCTTATTGTCTTTAACTCTAGTATCACTATGCGCCCGATTAACACTCGTATTCGACGATACGGATGATAATATATTAGCTGATAATGATGAATTAGTCGATATACCAACTTGATTCATTGATTTTGCATTATTTGTGGATAAACTATTGTTACTATTGCTAGAGGTTCGTTCTTTCTTTAGATTTGAACGATTTGAGAGACCATCTTTGCACGAATTTAATGGTTTATTATTGTTGATTGGATTATCGTTAATACTATTTTTTAACGATCCTTCGGCGATCAATGGATTATTCATTGTTGGCTTGATTTTGCTAGCCAATTGCATTTTCAACTGCTGCTTTAATTTATCACAAAGTACAGTGGATATTGACGATGTTGAGGTTACTTGGTGGATGTCTGTTAGGGGCTGTTGAGTTATGGCTTTCAGTCGAGGATCACGAGATGCTTGACGTGCTGAAGCAACCATCAGACTGCTCGCTGGAGCAATACGAGGACCATTTGTTGTGCCAGCATTTTTCAGGAGAGATGCAGCTGCTGCTGGAAACTGGAATTAAAATTTTCATATCAGTAATTCGTTTTGGTATTTTTCTTTTAATTCTCTTGATTCATGCTATTTACTTCGTCTTTTAGTTTTTTATCTCTGCTGACCTGCTTAGAGACTTGTTTAACCACTTGACTAGGCATCACTGGTGCCACTGGCTTTCCCTGATTCTCCTCACTCGTTGGAATGACTAGTGATGGGAGTATCTGCTGGTCAGGACCAATCTCTTTAGTTGTGTTTACAGTTGTTGAATTTTGATGAGACTGATGAGTTGGATGGGGAACAGTTACCATTCCAGATTTCACTGCTGGATCTTGCTCTTCCAACTGCTTCTGCTGCTCCTCAAGATTCAACTTTGCCTGCAGCAATTCTAATTCAACTTTTTGCTTTTGAAGTTCTAGTAATTTTTTCTGCTGATTCAGTAGCTCTTCGCGTTTTGAATTTATATGAATCGGTGCCAGATCGGTTGGAGGAGTTGCCAATGGCATTGCTACTGCTGGAGGTTGAGTCGACGACACCTGCGACTGAATAAAAACAAACAAAATAAATTTAACGTAAAAGTTGTAACAGAAAATCTGATAAAATCGAATCGAAAAATCGTCGACATTTTCGTCATTCTCTTCGATCCTGTGGTATTTTTCTACAAAAATTCTCTGGACTCGCAGATATTTTTAGAAAGATACTAGTAAAGGACAGCCATTGGTATTTATTTTTATAAACTCAAGGGACTGTTTACTGTCCACTATTTTTCGATCTCAAAAAATCAGGGAATGAAGGGATTGGAATAAAATAACAGGATCAATTACCATGGACAAAAATCTTGGATTCAGATGTATCGAACCCGATGATATCGTGGGTGGTGATGCCGTGATGGGCCACGCTGGGTCGATGCTCTGTACTCGTATATCGAGAGAATACAATTTAGTTGCAGGAAAAACATTACTCCACGTCTGTCGTAGTTTCCACATGCTGGCTCTGGTAACCTCATCCACCTATTTAGTGAAACAACTTGTCACAACATTTTCCATCGGTAATCTCATCGACTTTCATTTAAGAAAATTATTTCAAATAAAAAAAAACAGTCGTCAATTTTTTGTAAGAAAAAATAACTCCTCTATACGTTTACACTGGCTGTTATCGATCATATTTCAATCTTACTGGGGTTGTTACCCTCGTATTGATAAAACTATTATCTTATAATTCATCTGTTATTCAAGACCAGATCAGTCTACAAATAAAGAGTAGAAGTGAGTTTTTTAGTCTTGAAAAGAATATTCAATCGTTAATGAATCATCGTAAGAAATAATTCTTTAAAAAATTTCCAGAAAATTTTCTTTTAACGAACTGAATTTTCACATGAGTAATAAAATACTATTGAAATGCTCCAGATTAAATTGAATGACATGAGAATATAATTGTTAAAAACCAGAAAACGGATATTTCTCTATGAAATTGTTCATTTCTGGGATAATTCTATGAAATATAGGAGACAAACTTCCTCCACCTCTGATGACAATTAAAATCTAATGGATAATTTAATTACCTTCTCGAAGACACCACAAAACGTATTGACAATGTTTTGCGTGAACAGGTTTAAATACGCTCCATTAACGTTCTTGACGATTGAGTCGATGAGATAGAGGACCGGTAGCTTGAACTTGCTTTCCACCTGAACAAAACAACAACAACACTATCCCACTGTTCGTCCAAAACTGTCCAATTCTTCAATAATAAGATTGCATTGTGAAATGTGTCGTCACCAAGAAATTCGCAAAGTCAACGAGACAAATATTCATATTCTCCATGACGTGTCGTGACTTTTACCTCAATTTCTTCGCAGAGATTATCTATTATCATTATTGATTAATTACGAATAACATGTGCATCTCCACTCATTTTGAAACGATGGAAAAAGAGTTGATAAACTTATCCCTCACTCGTGGATAGTCGATTTATTCTTTATTTTAAAAATCAGCCACTTGAAATTTACATACGTAAACATCCACTGGATTGTAGACACAAGTGCCATCACGAGTCTCCGGAGAGGTAAATAAAAAATTGAAAAAAAAAAAAAATCTATATCTTTAGTACTCCCAATATTGATGAATTATTGATTCGTATTTTTTCCATTTTTTTGATCATTGAAAAATGTATTTTATTGAAAAAATATCTTTTGCGAAAGAATGGGTCCCTCTAATTAACACTAATTAAATTCCACAATTTCCAGGCGAAGAAGAAATGAAATATTACAGAAGATAATGTAAAATAGAAAGAAAAAGTAATTCAAAAACAAACGATGACGGCGGTAAAATGTCGGTAGTTTGTAAAAAACGGTACTTTATTTTTTTTCCACATTATCATGATCATTCATAATACTGAATATTATCACAGACAGAAGTTTTACGTCTTTTATCTTTTTTTTTTTTGTACCGTAGAACATGAAGAGCCTTGTAGAACCATCTATGTTCTCCACTCAGGTGCACACAGTAGGTTTTCGTTAACTGTGGTAATTCGTGTAGCATGAACAGTCCAATTGCGGAATACTTTTTGACAACTGAGCACTTCGATTATTCTCGTGAATGCCATTCGACAGATTTTATCTTCTAAATTCAATTTATATCTCTATTTATGTCACCAGAATACAGTTGTTCGTTGTTCGCGTCTGGTAGTGGAAATAAACCGTTCCCGCAGGCGTTTTCAGCCATTTTGCAACGAGTGACGATTCTCCTATGAAATCTAATATCCCATTTTCAAATTTTATTCCGAAACATCGAGCATCCAACTTTCATTTTCCCTATTTTCGCATCGATTCTGAAAATATTAATTTATTATAATATGTAAATAAATAGATAAATAAATGAAAGCCTAAGAATTCGCAAATTGACATGAGCTCCCGCACTCGCTTGTGACAATTTTTATTTCAATAATTCTCCACGAATGATTTGTTTCTAAATAAAAAATATGTATTCCATAAATGAACTGTTCACCCTACTCATCAATCGTATTTAAATGCATCACTTTTACATGCGAAAAGATTTAAAATATTCCCATATCATTTATCTCTCAAGGCCCTAGATATAATTTACAGGTGAAAAGAATCTATCGTGCTGACACTGATTAATATTTTCTCATTCGTGTCGAAATGTTCATAGATTTTTCGATTGTATGACAGTATGAAGATTAATATTAATTTATTCGGAATATCTTCAGCGTACCGAAGCGATGAAAAGATCCAAGAATATCCCTCTACTTTAGCTGTTATTTTGGAGGTGTACTTTCATCTTCATGAAGTGGTTTGGAAATAACGGTAGAAGACGTTCCAGTGCAGGCTATGTAGGCTAACCTCTTTTCTAACTGTAGAATTGGATTGAAAAATAATGAGCAACATGATGATCGCGAACTCAAAACACTAGCCACTGATACTCGAAAAAAAAAATGCATCAAACTCTTGGATCTCCTCAACCCTCCAAATCACCAAGAACTACACAACGTGCACTCGATCAAAACGTATCCACTAATAAAATCCTGATAATCGAAGAGACATTTTTATTTTCCCGTTAAAAAAAAATTTACAATGATGATCTGAAAGATGGTTGATTAATTTTCTATCAACATTGAGCAAATCTAGATGTTTTGAAAAATCTGAACTCCCAGGATACGTTGTGAGTAGAAATAAAAAGAATTCCCTCTCCCGCATTCAAAAAGAAGTTAGCAAATAAGGAGATATGATTATGATTATCATGATTATCATTCCTCAGAGAGCTTTAACAAACTATAGTAAACGGATAGGGCCCACGATTTTAACATCTTCATCAACGTTTTCTTAACAATTTGTTAAATTAACTTTAGGTTTTAAACTACGGTGGATAAGTAACCTTTTGTAAGTGATTCTCAACAGCTTCGACGATAGCCTCGGCGTGTTCAACGTTGTCCTCAGCGAGCATTGTGAGCATGTTGATGAGGGGCTTGGAGTTGATGGTGAGGTCCTTCAGGGACGAAAAATAATCATCCGCTATTTCCTTCGCCTTTGTCGACGTCATCCTTTAACACTTATTCCCTTCCCAGATGATATTCTTTTGAATTATTATTTTATTCTCGCGTACTGCTACAGTTCCACTCGTTCCGTCCACTCCACTTTAATCGCAGTGTCTTCTGCGTTACGCCCATGGAAACAGAAACACATTAACTTTACTTTGATGTTTTCATCGGAATGGAAATCGATGTTTCATCGTTTGCATGAAACCGTCAGAATAATGAGGACAAGACACTCTAAATATTTCTCGTGTCATTCTAGTCTTTGGAGGACGTGCAATTGTTCTCCTACGGTCAGGTCAGTTTTGGGACGGTTTAGGGGTGTAGATAAGTCCCATAAAAGATTCCCGAGTCCCAGGAATTTATCGTGCTGTCACGACTTATTGTCCAGGTGAGGTCATTATGTTTGTGAGCTGGTGCCAGAGTTCTAACCCCAGGTCATTGTTTCTCGGAAAATTGTTTCCCCCAATGAAATTCTCGAAACGGATTTCACTTGAATATTATTTAGTTGTAACTTTAGTAACTTCGTTTGGATTCAGTGATTTTTTAATGAGAAAACAATTAACGCATAATTCTTTCCGGTTGAAGAAAAAAATTCATTAATGACGCAATTATCTTTTGTAATACGCAATTGATTGTAATGCGAAATATCGAGATTTGGTTGACAATTGATGGAATTATTGGGACAAGATTTACAGATAAATTCATTTTTCTTCCGTTGTAATAATTTTTTTGCCTGTCTGATTTTTTATGCTGCATGTTAAGAGCTGCGCTCAATGGAATTTACATGTCATTTTGAGTTGCATCACATCTTCAATCAACAATTACCAACTGCACGGAGATTCTCAAGTACCTCAGCATCACGTGAATTATTTAACAAGGACTCTACATTTATTAACGATTATTTTCCGGAATTGTGGATTATGAGTTGGATACTGCGGAATTATTTTAACTGATAATGACATGAGGTATTTATACACAAACTGGAATAACAGGAATGCATTCGCGTTCAGATTCCGTGTACGTATTATTACGAATAAAATTTGATTGACACGATTGGTTGAATGGAAAATATTTTCTATAAAAATATAAGCTAAATTTGAAATAAACACGGCGAAGAGAAATAATTATGACTGAAAATCGTGGAAAATGCTGAATAATCGGGTGAATCCCGATTTTCCTGGAGTCCTTTTGCCCGAGGAAAAATCAAGAGCTTCATGAAAATGGGAAAATAGTAAAAAAAAATTACGATTTTTCCTGTTTTTCATTGAATTCATTAATTTTAGTGGAAACCGAGACTCAACTACAGAATTATCGTTTTGAAATCCGAGATATTTATCAAAAAATGATAGTAAATTGACTCGAAAAATTGCCTCAAAATAATCTCCTTGAATTATTATCTCCCCAGAAAATGAATTTCCGTTGTTAGTAACAGCCGATGGTAGTTTTGATAACAAAAAGTGAACAATACAACTGAAAATTTAGTGACGCATTCGTCGGACTTTCCTCAACGCAGTCTTATCGCCGCAATCCACAGAATGTAGAAAAAAAAAAAGCATAAAAATCCAGTTCTACTACGTACAATGGAACCAACCCCCCAAAATCAACGACAAATAGTAAAAAAACAATGATGACATGGCGATGAAAATACAACGCGGTATTTATGTAATCGTGGCCCATCGGTGAAAATCAGAACGGCCTTTTGTAGATCTCCCTCAGATGCCATATTAATAAAACACGGTAAACAGAAAATCAGAGAGGGATTTTTCATAGTTTAATGATCATCCCACAAAATACAAATATCAAACGTTGTTTATTAATTTCGTGTGAATGCGTCACAGACTCACAAGATAACGAATAAATTTCATTCAGGCAGATGGTGTTTTATCCAACGCCCGAGCACATTCGTTCCACTTGTACAGAAGTAAAAAAAAAAACGTTTCACTTGATAAATAAATATCACCCACTGATCGAGAGTTGAAATTATTTGAATTTAATTACCTTATCCAGGCATTGTGATTATTTTTTAGGGTACTGTGATGAATGACAAACTGCAACACCTTTTCGCAATATTAACGCACGCACTACTGCTTACGCGACGATATTGCCACGGGAAAATGGCGACAATTCTACTCGGTTGTGATGAAAAAAATGTGAGGATCGTACGGGCGTTTGCTATTGGTCAATAGCCGAGTGTGCACGCCATTTCCGGAAGTAATTCGTCCAATGGGAGATCGCGTTACAAAATGACAAGCAATCGGACAATCACGCTCACCTGTTTGGTAGATGCAGCATCTGAGACATCTAGTGGTTCAATCGTTAATTTTTAAATACTCAGATAAATTGCCTGCGGGAAATCGAAAACCGAAATTATGAGATCTTCTGTGTCTGTGCTCTAATGGTACCGTTGGTACCATCCATTCCCTTAGAAAAAATGTCAATCGATTATTTAGGCGGCGCCACTTTGTTTTATTATGAGAATTTTTATGTTGCAAAATTTGTAGGAAAATTGACACTTTTGTTCGGATGATATTTGAATGCAGGATATTGACGTGACGTGATGTGCATTTTTCAGATTCATATCGATTAAGATTTTTGGAATTGAAATTGTAAAAGATTTATTACTCATTATTACAGTGGTTGTCATTTTGTATGAATGACATACCGCATGTCCATGCATGTTTACAAGCATCTGGTGCTCAGGAATTTTGACACAATCGCTCTCAAAAATCTACATGAATTAATTATTGAAAATGACATCTTCCAAGGATCTTAACATGGCAAGAAAAACCCTCGTTGCTTCCCTCGGCGAAAATGCCAAAGTGTGAGTTATCTTTGATTTTTATTTTTACTCCATTAACTCAACAATTGATGAGAATACGCGAGGTTAGGATGATTATTGTGATTCTGTGTTTACAGGTACTTTGAGAAGATGAAGCAGTGGTTCCAGATGAAGGTACGTACCCCGAGGAATTATACCTCTCGGATTGCTCGAGGTATTTCTTAAATTATCACCTAATTTTTATTGCAGACCTCCAAGGAGGAATTCGACTGCGAAGCCAGAAATATCATGACTGAGGATCAAGTTCATCTTCACAATGAATTTCTTCTTTGTTTATTTAATAAAGTTCGGGGCCTTGCAACAGCAACACCAATGAGAACTGTCAAAGTCAACAATACACATCCCCACGTGGACAAAGATAAGGCAATAAAGGAGAAGAGATTGCGGTTAAAACGAAAATATAAAACTGATAAATCAAATTTCGAGGTGAGGCATCTACTCACATTTATTTTCCGATATGCTACGAGTATCGAATAAAGGAATTGAAATTACTAATCCCTTTGTCAAATTCGTGGAGGATAAATTTTCTTCCTTTAATTGAGGACATTCGTAAAATTACACACGATTTCATTCGGGATCATTTGAATTATTTATAAATTGTTTATACCAATAGAATTTTCATTTTTATTCCAGTCTGCAGACGTATACATAGAAGTTTTAAGTCAAAACTCATCGCCAGTTGGCGACGAGCCCATTGGCGCCAATCGTTCCAGTGCTCAAGAGCTGGTTCTTCCGGATCGTACCTTCGTCCTGGCGAGGCTCATGCTGGCTGCATGGGAAAACAACATGGACGGCGCCGAGGAAAACACAGCGCACATCATTATTGCTGCCACACAGATATTTCTAAAGAATTTGATAACCGCGATAATCACAAGGAGAAAGGGCTTCGCAGTTAGAGACGATAGTTTTATTTATAATATTGGAGAACCCGTGCCAAGTTCGTGGAAGAGGAACACTATTTCTATACCTCATAGTCTATTTTCCAGGTGAACTATTTATTTATTTACTTATCCCACAATTGAATTTGTTGAAGGTCCTTCTTTCGAATTATTCATTCGTTTTGTTTCATTGGCCAATTCGTACTTTAATTTTATGTACAATTTATGTGGAGTAATTGCATAGATATTTTTTATCGACTAGTTTGTTGTACATTGATATTTTCAGTACTCCGACAGACGTCGTGGATTCTGATGGACAAGTACCTGCTGTTAAACAAAGTATTGATGATATCGAGCAAGCCACTGCCTTTGCAATGGCGTGCTCTTCACAAACATTGCCACCTGAGCTGCCTCCAGTTAGTGTTGCAGATTTATTACATACGTTGAAGGTAACGATTCTCCAGCCAAATCATCTTCAATCGACTCGTAAATGTGTAATTAATTTCCCCACGATTAATTGTCTAGTTTAGTTTAATTGGATTCAATCGTTTCAGGTTCATAAAAATCTCATAAACAATCACACACTCTATGCAACAAATATGGAGCGTTTATTCACGTATCCAACTCATCCAACCTGGGACGATTTAGAAGCGAAAAAATTGTTGTGTTGAATTTGTTGAATTATTACTGACATTCATCAGATGTACCAAGCTCAAGACTGAAAAATAAACGATATGAGAGTAAGGGTAATTTAATTAACGGCTTGAATCTCTTCACCTTTAACAATTTATTCATACAGAAGACAGAGAGGAACAGAACAATTGTCATGAGAGGAAGAGTTTTCGATGAAAAAAAATTCCTTTGATATCATAATTTGTAGAGGTCCTCGGAGTGATTTTGTGAAATATTTTTACAACTTTTGATGCTAGAAATCACATTCTTATTTGGAATCTTCCGGCTTTTGTTATGTATTTTACCCCTTTGAAGGGTTTATATTTTTCACCGTACATATCCAGTCCATTTACTTTCAATCCTGATACAGCCAGCTGATTTATCGTGAAATGTACATTTATCGCTGGATTTGATTCCGACGCAGTCGCTCCATTTTGGATAGTTATCTGAAATTAATTGAATCGAAACAAATTTATTTAAAAAATTCCATAAACATATCTGCCGCTAGGAGTTGCTGAAAATATCGAGTACTAAAAAAAAATCCATCATTTCCATATAATAATTTTAATAAAAACATGAATTTAACATATCTGAAAAAATATTCTCAAAATGATGGAATTCTTTTGAGTGAATAATTATTTTTTATTGTCGTGGAATTTTTAATGTAAGGAGGATTACCGAGCCGCGCAGATTAGGTAATTTGGATACATCTATCCTCCCAATATCCCAGAAGAGCACTTTGCTGACAGGATCGAATGAGTATTTCCCTTGGTTTGGCACCAGAGTACAATTGAGAACAATTTTGGGCATGGGAATCTCGAGTGTCACATTCTCCACAGATCTCCCAACAGTTTGTTTTGGTCCCACTGTGATATCGAGTCTCCCACCCCCAGGCTCTTTCAAACTTATATTATGTCTAACGTACAATGGAATTGCGACGATACTCTGGGAGCCAATATGATACGAGAGCAATCGAAAATTGCCATCAGGTGGAATGAAAGATAAAATTCTCTCAGACTGAAAACAAATTGCGAATCAAATTTTTCCTGCATAATTAACAAAAATAAAAATGCAACTAAAATTGAAGAGTTACATCACCAATTTAATTTCTGGAAAACTATTATTACCTCCCATCGCTTGAATCTCACACAGGGATGAAAGCTGACGTCATCGAATAATCTCGGATTCATGAAAGATAATGTCAAATCAGGCATTCCACTCAATTTAATACAGCAGTCGATCTAGAGTTCATGAGAAGGAAATCGATGATTAATAGATGAAATGGTTGATGTCAGGAGACATTTTCTGTAGGAAAGTTTCGATTTATTTCAATGATCATTCAATTTAAATTATCAGACTCACGTATCCCTGAATTTCCGCAGTAACTGTCGCTCCAGTTCTATCGATAATTGCATCAACCTCCTCCACAACATCGAAATAGGCTTCATTATTCGTATATTTCACCCCAGTTCTCCTCCAAGGAACATTAGACAATTGCCCACTGGGTAAAATTGCGCTGACACTAGAATAATTAATAATTATTTCATGCAATTTGCCTGTATATTTTTGAAGAGAAATATTAAATATCGAAACAAGTTTGTATATATTGTTCTCATCAGGAAAAAAAATCTTACTTTGATTTTCCAGTGACAGTATTGGCTATAGTCCTTAAAATATTAGGTGGTTTAATGAGTTCCTTCAGGATGTTGGACTCAGTGGCGAGAGGGAAGCCATTATCCAACATCTCATCCAACAACTCATAAACGACCACATAATTTTCTTTAATGATCGTCTCAGTGCATTCGTTGAAGTAATCCTCGAATGTATCGACAACTCTGTGCAGGAATTCGATGACAAACAGAGGTGGAACTGCAAGAAGAATTAAATTCACATGTACCTCTAACTTCTTGATTTAATACCCAAAAATATTGAATCACCTTCGGTGGTGCATACAGCAACAAAAAACATATTGCATCTGTAAATGCTGATCAAATAATGATGGGGTGTAGCAATGACAGGTGGAGTGTCCTCAGGAGTGAGTACACGTCTCTGCTGATCGAAGAAATAATCGCAGAGAGATCTGGCGACTGCACTTTTCCAGTGTTTCTCCATGAAAACATCTCTGAAAAAAATAAAAATTAAACATTTACACAGGAAAAATGAAATAAACAGATATTTGGAAAATAGCAATTTTTTCCTCAGTGTTCTCCTCGAGAGAGATGGACTAGCAGATGGACCAGGATAACCTGTCACCTGTCAAACGTCAGTGTCATATTCTTCAGGAAGAAATACTCACCCAGAGGAGTTTATGATAAACAGACTGTTAATCATTTCGGTGGTGGGTCAGTCCAGGTCCTCTTGAATAACAGATCGAACGAAATTCGTTGGAAAATTGTAAATAATTGACAACAATACGAGAATTCAACTCAGAACAATAATAATCCACTCTGGTGGGTTTACATGAAGCAGTTTGTCATCTGTTCCGATGAGTTCTAACCAAACAGAACGAGCTCAGGTCAGAATATCCTCCAATAACAGCTGTTCTATGCATGATAACACGTGTGCAGGAAATTATTATCTCTCGATACATGTCACTTCGGAGTAATTAGTTATTTCCACAATTGTGATATGTTAATTGTATAATTATTGATTAGTGAAGATGAGTGAGACATTGGATTTACAGAGTATAGAGAATGACGGTAAGTAAGTAACGAGAGATCGAGGGATCTGTCAGGTCCAGTGGAATGGACTAATTAATGAATGTCTCGGGATTTTCAGAATTTTTCCGCCAATTCCTGGCACCGGAGTCAAAGCAAAATGACGCGACAAAACTCCTGACAGTGGCTCAACAATTGAAGAAATTGACTGAAGCCCTAGAGGTCCTGGACACGGAGATTCATAAACAGGTATTAACGAATCACGAGGACTTGCTTTCGCAGGTGACGTGGGTGGAGAAAATTGAGGGTGTACTCTCGATAATGCATACCCACGTACAGAGTCTTCTGTCAGCAGTGGAACGTCTCCGTTCGAAAATCGTGGAGCCTTTCAACCGAATTGAAGCTCAAACATTGATTCTCACTCGTCTCCACGAAACAACGGATCTCCTGAGAAGAGTTGGCAGAGTTCAGCACCTGCTGCACTCTCAGAAGCTGTATTCCCAGATAAGTAATGCCACGCAGAGCTCAGACATGATCAAAGCAGCTAAGAGTCTTCATGAACTCGAGCAACTTATGTCAGACACTGATCTCGGTGGATTGGACATCGTGGCGGATGATCAGCAGGCAGTTAAAACCCTGAAGGCATCGGTCCAGAGGGTTGCCACACACTCACTGACGCAAGGACTCCAGCAATCAGACAGCAGACAAGTTGGAACTGCCATTCAAGTGTTTGAGAATCTCGTTATGCTGAGAAAAGCTGTCGAGAAGACCGAGGAAACTGCCCTGGGGGATATAGAGAGAGTCGCCAGAGAGGCGCTCGATATCTCTGTTCTGTCGAGTCAGGATATCAAACGTGGAGCACCTGGTAGAGCAGCTATACCATCTCCAGGAACAACGACAAACGTGAGGACACGTCTCTGGGAGAACCTGGACCGACTTTTCCAAGAGACCGTGTACACCCAGTGCGTGCAAATAGAACTGCTTGAACGAATACTCCTGGAGCATCACACGTCGGAGTTCTCTGGTTTCTCCAGCAGTTTCTGGGACAAGGTAACGGCCCTCCTCTCGAAAATTTTGATTGAAAGATCTCAAGGATCGACTTTCATCAAACAAGCCTTGGAGGGCGAGTACCCGAAGTTCCTGCGGGTCTTTCTGGACCTGAAGAAGCGCCTGAAGGAGCGACCACAGGCTATGGGGACCTACACCATCAGCAGAGATATCCTACAGCCCTTCGAGAACGCCTACCTCTCTAGATCGATCTCTCGCCTCTTGGACCCAGTGCACACGATGTTCTCAGCTGACTCCTCTCCCTCCCAAGACGAAATTGACAGTCTGATCCGCACGGTAACCAGTGAACTCAGTGTGTCTCTCGTCGACGAGAGTCTCTCCACAGTTGTCGCCAAGAACGTGGGGAAAGCGGTGAGACTATTTTGCCTCAAGTGTGAACAGGGCCTGATAACAGGGGGTGAAGCAAGTCAGGTGATTGACGCGATGACCCCAGGTCAACAGACGAACGTCAATCTCGCTAATCTATTGTACTACCTAGCGAGCCAGATAAGCAGAGTTGTGGCAAATTTGGCGGCTAGTCTCCCAGGTGAAGGGGCTAGTGTCATAGCAGCTGCCCTCGAGGAGACAAACACCCTCACCAAGAACATCCTCGCTCCTCTCATGGGCTCCATCACTGACGCCATCGAGAGCATCATCCTCACAATGCACGATGATCCAGACTTCAGAGAAACCTCCAGCCCTCTGGGTAGGGAAATCAGTTGCTCCCTCTACATGCGGGAACTCCAGGGATTTATCCTGAGATCAGTGACGACTTTTCTCTCTTCTTATAAAAATCAGGTGACCGTCGCCGAGAGCTGCAATACTGTCGCCTCCAGGTGCATCGAACTCTTTGTCAGGCACGCCTGTCTCATCAGACCATTAACTGATTATGGCCGAGCAAAATTGATTGTCGATTTTAGTCAGATGGAAGCGGCACTGGGGCCTCTCTGTAGGGGGGGACATCTCGGTTTCCTTGAGCAACAGCAGTACAGAACCCTCAGGGCACTCAAAGCATTGTTGGCACTCGGTCCTGAGAAAATGGTGGAGAGGGTCGTGGAGATGAGGGGTGAGGGAGGTGTTCCTGCTTCCCTCGTGCTCCTCCATTTATTCTCTGGGGCTCCTCCTGAACTGCAGTCACCACATCAGAGTGCTGGATGGTCGATCAATCGATTGTCCCAGTGGATCGATGGACATCCCAGGGAGGAGGACAGGGTGGCATTGAGCAGTGGACCTCTTCAGAAGTACGAGGCCACTATCAGACAGCGGGGAATGAAGAATTTTCATCCGTTGTTCCCGTTGATGATGAAGCTCACGAGTCTTGGGGGGAAGTGACGGTCTGACATTTCGGGACGATATATTCATTATCTCATTATTTATATCATCGAAGTTTCGTGAGATAATTGACTAATTAGTTAATAATAATGAGGCGTAAGGAGTATAATAACTTAAACTGAGTGATTATGAAGAAATTAAATTGAATATATTTTTTGAACTATTGAGTTCATTAGTTTTGAAAATTGAGTGGCATTTTTGTATTTATTTCCCATTGATCATCAGTGAAAAAATAAAAATACAAAATCATTTGGCAATGTTCAACGTAAATTATATTATTTTTCAACGGTAAAGAGAACAGCATAAGAGAAATAAAAATGTTGCTTTAGATTTAATAAAAAAATAATTCAACAAAAAATACTGTTGTCATGGCTGAGGCGTACACCAGGTACTCAGTTCCACAGTTTTGTTGAATATCCAGTCTTCGATAAGTAAAAGCCAGCCATTACTGTGACCCCGAGGATGATGGGCCAAGTGGCCATCCTCTTTTTTTTGTCAGGACCAATGTAATCTGGTGGGGCAGGGACGACACTCTCTCTCTGGATTTTCTTGGCAAAATTGAGCATGTGGTTGAGATCTTTCCTGAGGGATCCCAGAGTCTCTTCGGTTTGTTTGAGCTCGTCCTTGAATTCTCTCTTTTGAATTTCAGAGAGAGCCTCATTGGCGTTACCACCCTGGGAGATATTCATGGTGATAAAGTGAAAACTCGAGCCAATTACACTGATTTGACGAGCAACGTTCCCAAGAGCTGTAATTCCATCGTAGAGTCTACAAAACCGAAGAAAATTAATATTGCAATGGGAAATAATTTTTATATAACATAAAAATAATTCGTAAATATTTTTACGTGTGAGAAATTGTCTTGGTAATGCTCCCCAAGCTGAGATGACTCCACCTTCTAGTATGAAACTGCATGAGGCCATTGAGAAATACTTTCCTATGATACTGCAAATCCATCCCCAGTCTAACGAGATCCCGATCAGTCAGCTGTAAGAATTCCTTGAGCTGCATCCCCTTGAAGAGTGGCCTGTACCTCTCTAACCCGAGGGCATAAAGAACAGCAGCTACATCGACATTGACGAATCGTTGATCAGCCTCCTTGATCCCAGGAAAGGCATCCCTCCACTCCGAGACATGTGCCACTGGACAGAAGTTCTCGATCTCCTCCTCCTCGAACTCCAGCATCTCCAGGATATGGTCGAAGCCTTTGGTAGAAGCAATCTCTTGAATTGTCAAGTCACGTCTGTCTTTGAGGTTCACTGAGGCCTTGTGAGAGATCAGGATCTTGACGATCTCAGGACGATTCGCGGTGACAGCATCGAAAATCGCAGATCTCCCATCATTATCGACAGCATCGATATTCTCCACCTGCTCCAGCAACTTCAGAATGACCTCTGGATGCCCTAACTTGCAGGCAAACATCAGGGCTGTCCTCCTGTCCTTGTTCATGGCGTTGGGATCTGCCTTTGCCTCCAGGAGAATTGAAATGCATTCCAGGGATTCATCAGGCTTTCCATGGGGAGAGTCGCAGACTGCCATCAGGGGACTGTACCCATCCTTGTGTTTATTTGGATTTGCTCCTCTTTTCAACAGGTGTTTAATTACATCTGGGAGGAGGGCGTTGGAGGCATAGAGAAGAAGGGTCCAGCCACTACTCAGGAAGGCATTGACGTCGTGACCAGCATCCAGGAACGAGTCTATTGGTGACAGATTTCCTGTCATACAGGCTGTCAAAACCTCAAGGTGCAGGTCATAGTCGCTAGGCTGACATTTCTTTTTGTTGTTCTCCAATCCTGAGACCTTTTTTGAATGGACCTGGGGGATGAACTTCTTCTTGAGAGGAGACTGGCGATCAAAACGGAGGGTGCAAAAATATTTACGGGCAACAGTCAAAAGGACACTATCATTTTTTAAATTCAAATTGACAGGCCTAATCGATTGCGCTCATTTCTAGTTTAGAAATAGGAAGGGATAACGGAATAAAAAAAACTTGTTGCATCGATAATTAAATGAGGTTATGAAATTTCAAATTGCATAATTACATTTTCAGCGAGTGAAAATCCATCTTCATCGTCAAAATCCCCATCTGATAAGTCCTCCATTCCAGCTGGTCTGTATGACATTATCGAGCTTTATCAGCCACTAATTTGGAAATTACTATATCTGTCCTGTCAACCACCCAACCGGCTTCTTCTTTTGTTTACATCGCAGTGTAAATACAAAAAAAATGCACATACCAGGGGCCAAAGAACATGGCGGTGTTTGCCACTTGATTCAATTATAACGATTATAACCCTTGTGACAAGTCCATTTAAAATTGAGAACTTGAAGTGAACTGATATAATAATAAAAAGATTTATCTGCAGATGATTACGATAATTATGAAATGATTACTGGATTATTGGGGACGGCAATAGAATTTTTATGATTGCCAAACAGCTGAGAGCAGTTACCTCACGTGTAATTGTACGCAATTGTTAATTAATCGATGTTAAATATGTGGTGATATGATATTCAATGATTTATTGATAATTTTTTATTTAATTGGTAGTACATTTTTTTTTCAGATGACGAAGCCACTGCTAATAGCCTTCGATTTTGATCACACAATCGCAAATAAAAATTCTGATCATGTGGCCCACCAGATGCTCCCAGGGGGAGTCCCCGCGGACGTAAAGGAACTCTACCATTCAGGTGGAGGCTGGACAGAATTCATGAGAAGATGTTTTCAACTTCTGCACGCAGCAAAAATATCGAAAGACGATCTGGAATCAACGGTGAATGCAATACCCCCAGTTCCAGGGTACGAGGATCTCCTCAACAATTTGCACTCCAACAACTGTGAAGTGATAATAATCAGTGACTCAAACTCTGTCTTCATCGACAATTGGTTGGTCCACAAAAAGCTGAGACACACGATTACAAACATCTCGACTAATCCAGCCTTTTTCGATGACGAGGGAATGCTCCACGTGAAGGAATACCAGGACCAGGACTTCTGCGATTTGAGTGAGAGAAATTTATGCAAGGGATACGTTTTGGAGACTTATATAAAGGAGAGAGCCGACGAGGGAGTTGAATTCCAGAGGATAGCTTACGCTGGAGATGGAAAAAATGACTTCTGTCCGATGTTGAAACTGTCTAAAAATGATTTGGCTTTTCCCAGAAAAGATTACACGATCATGGAGTACCTGAATAATCCAGGAAAACCTTCTCTGAAAGCTGAAATTCTTCCCTGGACGGATGGGTATGATATCTGGAGGGAAATAACGTCTCGAATAAATTTTTGAATGGTATTTAAAAATCTTTCATCTCCAAAATATCAATAATCCATACTTGCATTTACTCTAATACTCCGAATTAAATCCTGATATCAAACCTTTTTTAATTAAAAAAACCATCGCAATATTAAAATTATTAAAATTTATTAATGATTTTAATTTTTTAATTTAATGATTTACAATTACTCAACTCCTCCTAATTATAAGCTTTGTGTTCATGGAGTAAAACTTCAACGCCTTGTCCATAAACAAATGCTAATGTTTCATCACAATTTTCTGGATTATGACATACAGTCAATCCCTGCAAGTCTGATACAAACGTTTGGATGATTTTTATTGGTGCCACCGATAGTTTCTCGTTCGAATAATTGTAATCGTAGAGAACAACTCTTTGATCAATCGCAGTTGTCAATAATTGATCGTTAGGTATGAACCTGGCACCTGAAAGATATTTTTTTAAATAAATCGTTTAACAAATGTACTCCGTTTAGATCGACAAAAAAAATAAAGGCGATTTTTAGAATTCATTAAATTACCTGTGATCTGTGCAGAATGTGTGTCAGAGGACTCCCAAAAGCCCTTGGTCCTGACCTCTCTCTTTTGACAATCTCCAAAGACCTCGAACACAGAAAAACTCACTTTATTGTCATCCCCACCAGAGACAATGAAAAAAACCGTCCCATCCTCCCTAAAATCGTAACTATTTATTCCAGACTGGTGGGCCCTCCACCTGCCAAAAGGCTCGAGCCCTTCCCCAGCGGTCCCATCCTCCAGTGCACCACGTACAATAAAATCCCCATCCCAGAGATTAATAAATCCATCAGTAGCCATAGACACCAGAATCATTCCCCCTTCAATCTCAAACGAGTGAACCTTCAGAACACAACGATTATAGTACGAAATCTCCACCAAGAGACTCGCAATCTTCTTCTCAACATCATAAAAAATCACCCTGATGAACCCATCAGAACACGCAACGAAGAGAATTACGATATTTTTGTCCCACCGACAGAACTGCGCAGAAATGTCCATAAAACGAGTCTCAGGATCTAGAAAATAGGAAGTCCCAGAATTGGGGAATTTTCGTCGATCCCTATCCGTTCCCCGGAGCATAAAAGACGTCAGTTGCATTCCCACGACGTCATCCCTCGTGATGATCTCCTTCGTGAAATCCACTCGGACCTCCCAGACCTTCAGCTGTGCCCTGCCACCCCCGGAGAAGACTAAACTCCTTGAAAGAATTTCTGTTTCCTCGCAGCTATTTAAATTCAGATCCAAAATTTCGATCGTTTTAATACTCGAAATGTGTCCGTCGTAGACATCCAGTGGTACGATCTCAAAACCCCTCGATCTCCTCTCCAAAACACTGACACGAATGCTGCAGTCTTCACTTCCTGTCAGGATCACCCGGTGCCTGGAGGAGGTACCCAGAACCCCCAGGGAATGAATCTCCTTCGAGTGAAGTCCCGGGATTATCGAATTGCTGGATTTGATTGACAAATTCTCCGTCGTGTGCACCTGTTTATCTTTTATACAAACAAAATTAATTTCCCCATCATTAAAGAGGCAGTCCCACGACCTGTGCCCACCCCCGCAGATCATCCTCAGGAGCAGTCTCTCGAGACGAGTGCTGTAAATCATGAATTCAATCTCCTTGAACCCCAGGACGTAGACGTCGTCATCAGTCCTCAGAGATCGGCTGACCCACTCCATCGGCATTTTCTTCCAGTGGAGGGGCTCCAAGTGCTCCCCAGAGTCATCTTCCAGGAGCCTGTGATATCTCAGAGTCCCATCCCTCCCAGTGCTGAGGATCTTATCCCCAGAAATCCCAAGAGACTGGACCCCCAGTCGTCCGTGGATCCTCTGGAGTATCTGTCGTGGCATCTTCGAGGGGCTCGGGTTGACCCGATAGACGATGATGTTCCCTGTGCGATCACCACAGACAAGAAGACTCGAGCAGATGAGTGCTGATGTCGTCCAGCACTCTTTACTCAGTGGAAGTGTAAATTCCGCCTGAATTTCCAAATGGTTTCCCTTGAAATTCAGGAGCTTCAGGGCCCCCCTGGGTCCGCAGACCAGAAGAGACGCACCGGAGAGCCACTGGAGGGAGAAGATCTTCGAGTCGATTATTTTTTGGTCCAGTACCTCCTGGAGACTGGGATGATTTTTTTCTCCGGTTAATTCCTCTTGGAAAATTATGACGTGACCGTCTTGCGATGCGAACGCCAATTTTTTTCTGTCAGGGGAGATGTGCATCAGGCAGTAGCTACTCAACCTCCGAAGGACTATCATCGTCGTCGGTGGGGAGTGTTGATGGGTCTGATTATAATAGAGGAGATCTCCCCCGTCCATGAACACTGCGAGGGCTCCTGAGTGCATGTAAGTCACGAATTTCGGGGTTTTCTTTTGGTACGTGAACCTGTGGGATAGGATCGGAGAGGAGTTGGAGAGGGACCAGGTGTTGAGACCACCGTCACCACCACCTGTAATTAAAGTTGATCTGTCCGGGGAGATGTCGATGCTCCAGACTGGCGCTCCACCGTGAGCTGTTATTTTTCTCCGGAGCACTCCAGTTTCTGACCATATGCAGATGAGGGAATCCTGCGAGGTATTTTATTTATAATATATATATACAAATTAATCCTAATTAATCGTAATTAAGCCCAATTAATTAAAGTTATCTATTA